AAACCGTTTCATAACTATTTTTAAATTTCAATACTTTTCTTCTATTTTTTATTTCAATTATATCTACACACAAATTTTCTTTCACCAGCTCAGCTAGCAATTATTACTTTTAGTTACAAATTATGTATAAAAAATCTGCTACTGCTGCTGGTGCTAGGTATGTATCCACAATGTGGTAGTGGCTTCTCCAATTACTTCACTTGCTTTTTGTTCCGCTCAAAACGTCCAAACACCTGAAAGTCTAAATAATAACTGTTAAAGTTGTAACTTTGACTGTCATAAGCATATCTATTGGCTACGCTTTAAGCTCAAAAGCATTTTCTAAAAGCTTCATTCCACCGAGCTTTATCATTGTAATTCCTGGATTTGGAAAAATCCAACAACACTTGTTGGATTTGTTAGGGTCGTAGTGCGCATGTTTTGTTGTTATTTCTATTGCCTTCCATGCCGGTTTGTTTACAAACATTGCATCCTTGGTATGAGGATAACATGTGCATTGGTGGCCAACGCGCAGGTCTGGGAAAGTTGTAACACATGTTAGCCGAGCTGAATTGTTTGGTTGGAATTGTTGATTTCTTCTTTGACGATTTTTTGTGTAATCCTAAATTCAATAACATTTTACTGACAACAGTTGTCAGTAACCACCTGTTTGTCTATTCCGAAAGGAGCTTGGAGCTTTTAAAGGAATGATAACGTATTCGGGTTTTTGGAAATTCGAAATAGAAGGGTACGAAAAGTACTAAAATGTACTTAATTTTGTACAATTTCGTAGCATGTGAATTGATAGAGCTAAAAACTTGAAATTTGGAATGCGACTTAGGGTTGAGATGTAGAGTCTATTTAAGGAGATGGTTTTGAAAGCGTGTACTCATGTGTACGAAAAGTACTATATGATACTATATTTGGTACAAATTTAATTTGGAGATACAAATCGAGCTGGAATCCTGAAATTAACATTAGGAGTTGGACATCTGAGTGTAGGATTGGGAATGTACGTAGTTTTGGAATTTTTTTACCGAGTTTCAGTAATTTATATTCATGGGTACTAAATGGTACTAAATTTGGTACAATTTGAATTTTATGCGAACCAATAGAGCTAGAATCATAAAATTTGGAGTCAGGATAACTGTTGGGGTGTAAGATCGAGATATGTAGGAAGTTTTAAAAATTTTTACTAATGAGTACTAAATTTGGTACAATTTGAATTGTGGGTGAACCGATAGAGTTGGAATCATAAATCTTGGATTTAGGATCAGTCTGGGGGTGAAAGTTTGGGTTAAGTGGGACGTTTTGGAAATTCGTACTACTGTGTACTAAATTTGGTACAATTTGAATTGTGAGTGAACCGAAAGAGTTGTAATCCTGAAACTTGGATTTAGCATCTCTGTTTAGGGTAAGTAAGAAGTTTTCGAAATTCGTACTACTGTGTACTAAATATCGTACAATTTGAACTGTAGGTGAACCGATAGAGTTGGAATCCAGAAACTTGGATTTAGGATCACTGTGAGGGTGTAGGATTGGGGTCTGTAGGAATTTTTGGAAATTCGTACTTCAGTGTACTAAATTTGGTACAAATTGAATTGTGGATGAATCGATAGAGTTGGAATCTTGAAACTTTGATTTAGGATCACTGTGGGGGTGTAGAATTGGGGTATGTAGGAAGTTTTGGAAATTCGTACTACAGTGTACTAAATTTGGTACAAATTGAATTGTGGATGAACCGATAGAGTTGGAATCCTGAAACTTGGATTTAGGATCACTGTGGGGGTGTAGAATTGGGGTATGTAGGAAGTTTTGGAAATTGGTACTACTATGTACTAAATTTGGTACAATTTGAATTGAGGGTGAACCGATAGAGTTGGAATCCTGAAACTTGGATATAGGATCACTGTGGGGGTGTAGGATTGGGGTCTGTAGGAAGTTTTGGAAATTCATAGTACTGTGTACTAAATGTGGTACAATTAGAATGGGGGTGAACCGATAGAGTTGGAATCCTGAAACTTGGATTTAGGATCACTGTGAGGGTGTAGGATTGGGCTCTGTAGTTTTGGAAATTCGTACTACAGTGTACTAAATTTGGTACAAATTGAATTGGGGATAAACCGATGGAGTTGGAATCCTGAAACTTGGATTTAGGATCACTGTGGGGGTGTAGGATTGTGGTATGTAGGAAGTTTTGGAAATTGGTACTACTATGTACTTAATTTGGTACAATTTGAATTGAGGGTGAACCGATAGAGTTGGAATCCTAAAACTTGGATTTAGGATCATTGTGGGGGTGTAGGATTGGGGTATGTAGGATGTTTTGGAAATTGGTACTAAATGTGGTACAATTTTAATTGTGGGCGAACAGATAGAGTTGGAATCCTGAAACTTGGTGTTAGGATCACTGTGGTGGTGTAGGATTGGGGTAAGTAGGAGGTTTGGGAAATTCGTACTACTGTGTACTAAATTTGGTACAATTTGAATTGTGAGTGAACCGATAGAGTTGTAATCCTGAAACTTGGATTTAGGGTCACTGTGGGGTTGTAGGGTTAGGGTAAGTTGGAGGTTTTGGAAATTCATACTACTGTGTGCTAAATTTGGTACAATTAGAATTGGGGGTGAACCGATAGAGTTGGAATCCTGAAACTTGGATTTAGGATCACTGTGAAGTGTAGGTTTGGGTTAAGTAGGAAGTTTTGGAAATTCATACTACAGTGTACAGTCATTATGGGTGTGTAGGATCGGGGTATGCAGGAAGTCTTGTTGGAAGTAGAAGGGTACTAAAGTACTAAAATGAACCAAATATGGTACCCTTTTTATTAGCGAACGGGAAGAGCTAGAATTCTGAAATTTGGAATGTTGGTCACTGATGGAAAGTTAGAATGATGTGCAAAGGGTTGTTGGAAATTCGACCTATAAGTGTACTAAAGGTACTAAACTTTACTGAATTTACTTCCTGTTGTATATATATTGAACATATATAGCATGAATCTTGGCATATGAAATGGAATACTGGTTGGGAAGTAGTGTTGATGTACGGAAATAAGTACATTCGTACTTATGTGTATAAAAAGTGTAAAATGGTACTAAATTTCGTACTATTTACATTCAGTTGAGTGTGTAGAGATGGAATCTTGATAATCGGAATTAGCTTTAAAAAATCGTACTTATTTGTACGAAAAGTACTAAATGGTACTAAATTTGGTGGAAGTTGGATTTAGGTGAACAGACAGAGCTGAAGTCTTCAAATTGGGAATTAAAATGACTGTTGGAATGTAGGACTGAGGTAGATTATGAAATTCGTACTTATTGGTACTATATGGTACTAAATTTAGTACAATTTGGATTTTGCTTGAAAGGATAGAACTGAAAACCTGAAATTTGGAATTAAGATTTCTGTTGAAGATTGAGCTATAGAGACATCTTTGGAAACTCGTATTTATGTGTACGAAAAGTAATAAACGGCACTAGATGGATTTGGGTGAACGGAGAAAGCTGGAAACGCATAATTTGGATTAATGGTTGATGTTTGAATATAGAATTGAGATATGGAAGCATAGTACCTATGTGTACTAAATAGTACTATATTTCGTACAACTTGATTATGTGTGAACGGATAGAGCTGGACTTCCGAATTTTTTAATTAAAATTACTGTTGGAGCGTAAGATTGACATAGTTTAGGAAATTGTTAATTATAGAAACAAAAAGTACTAAATGGGTCCGGAAATCTTACAAATGTGTGAACGGATAGGGCTGTATTCTAAAATTTTGAATTAATATTACAGTTTGAGTGCAGAATTGAGATATGTCGGTAATTTTTTAAAATTCGTCATTATGTGTACTGAATGGTAAAAAAATTGGTACAATTTTGATTCGAGTTAACGGATAGAGATAGTAAACGTAAATTTGTTATTAAAATTGCAAGATTAAGGAAGTATTGGAATTTCGTACTTATGGATACGAGAAGACCTAATTGGTACTAAATATGGTACAATTCGTTTTGTGTAAGCGGGAATCCTAATATTTGGACTTAAAAATAATTTGGAACAATTTGGACTTTGGTGGAAGTAAGATTAGGATTGATGGATTGATGTAGTTTTAGAAATTCTTACCTATGAGTATGGTAATAAAATTTTTAAAAATCTTGGATAACGGAGAGAGCTGGAAACCTAAAATTTAGAATGTTGGTCTTTGACAGATATTTTTTGGTACCAAATTTAGTAGGTGATAAAATTCCTTTAAAAATCCACGCCTTGAGTCCTTTGAATATTGTGGATTTCCTTTAAAAATCTTATTTGTAAGTAATATTGATATTAAAATTCCTTTAAAAATTCAGAACTATACGCCTTGAGTCCTTTGAATATTGTAATAAAATTCCTTTAAAAATCCACGTCTGGAGTCTTTTGAATATTGTAATAAAATTCCTTTAAAAATCCACGCCTTGAGTACTCTGAATATTGTAATAAAATTCCTTTAAAAATCCACGCCTTGAGTCCTTTGAATATTGTAATAAAATTCCTTTAAAAATCCACGCCTTGAGTCCTTTGAATATTGTAATAAAATTCCTTTAAAAATTCACGCCTTAAATCCTTTGAATATTGTAATTAAATTCCTTTAAAAAACTCCTCGCCTTGTGTCCCTGGAATATTGTAATAAAATTCCTTTAAAAAATCCATTTCCAAATTTCTTCTGTAAATAAATGCAATTTTATTTCTATAACATTATTATTATTTTTTTTCTTTATCACTTAAACCAATACAGAGATTTGAAAAACAACTGGAACATTGGGGAGTTTGAATAATTAAAACCGTATTTTGGTTAACTGTAACCAATCTTAAAATTAAACGAAAATATAAATGCACTTTAAACAGTTACAGTAAACCGGTTCTACTACAAGGACATACAAACATTTAAAACTAATTTTATTTAGAATTTGAGACCCCATGATCTCAAGAAAATAAATGCAACACAACAGCCTTAGTTTTAGGAAGTAGATGCAGGTCGTTCGTTTGCCTTAGTAGTCAATTAGTTTAGCAAGAATAAGGCGGGATTTTCCAAATATTTCTTCCATACATTAGAGAAACTGGCCATGGTGACACCATCGATTACACGATGATCGGCTGACCAACTGACACTCATAATATAGGCCTTGACAATTTCATCCTTTTCGTTGAAACGGGGAACAGCCTGCAAAATTAATTTAGGGTTATAAAAATCGGAAATAAAACATTTTTATTGATTTCATTGAACATACCTTAGTACGACCCATGGCTCCAATGGCAACCTGAGGTGCCATTATACAGGGATGTGTATAAGTACCACCGATCACACCAATATTCGACAAAGAGAATGTACCATCGGCAAAATCTTGAGGTGTAAGTGTACCCTTACGTCCACGTTCAACCAACTCATTTAAATCCTTTGCAATTTCCATAATATTTTTATTTTGCACATTCTTAATATTTGGCACCACCAAACCTTGGGGTGTATCAATGGCCACACTGATGTTATGGGCACCCTTGTATATCAGAGTTTCGTTTTGCAAATCCAAGGAGCTATTTACAATGGGGAATTTACTTAAAGCAATGGATGCGGCCTTAATGCAGAATGGCATAAAGGTTAATTTACCAACACCTTGTTCTTTGGCAACATCTTTTAATTGGTCACGGAATTCCATAAGGCGGGTCATATCGATTTCATCACTATAGGCAAAGTGAGGGATTTTCTGCGAAGGAGGACAAGAATAAAATAATTTTAAAATTCAATATTATTTTAAACAACTCATCTTACCAATGATTCCGTCATAGATTTAAGCATGGCCTTGCGTACACCCTTCAATGGCTCAACGCGGTCAGCTGGAACGGGAGCTGCTGCAGCCTTGCCAGCACATTCAGATGATGCTTGCAAATTCTTGGCAGCAATTGTGGGATGTGGTATATTTGTACCAGCCGGTACCATACCCAAATATTCCAAAACATCACCCTTTAGGACGCGACCATTTTTACCAGTTGGTTTCACTTTGGACAAATCAACTTTGTTTTCTTTGGCAATACGTCTTACGGCCGGGGTGGCCAATGTTATATGACGATTTACTTCTTCATCAGTGGCAGCTTGAGGTTTATTATCAGTGGATTTTTTGTCTTCTGTTGTGGATTTAGCTTTTGCTACCTCATCATCGGAATCGGAACTATCTGAACCCTCTTCATCATCAACTTCAAAATCTAATAAAGCTTTACCAACCAAAGCCACATCATCGACGTTATAATGAAGTTTGGTAATTTTACCATCATAACGACTGGTAATTGTGACAGATGCCTTATCCGACTGTACCTCACATAGATTATCGAATTGCTCTACTGTATCTCCGACTTTGACGAACCTGTAATATAAAAATGTATATGGTTTACTGAATGTTGAGTATTGTGATCTAAGGTACTTACCATTCCTTAACTGTAACTTCACGAATACCTTCTCCAATATCACTAAGATTGAATGAGACAATTTTATCCAGACATGGTGTTAAATGTAAACAACGGAATTGTTCTTGCAAGATATTGACCTGTAATAGAAAAATATAAGAAAATAATGAAATTACTATTGGAATTTTTCCAGATTATTTTTAAATGTTTAGAATGGAATTTATGTATGCCCAATGGAACAGGTGACCATAGGTCCTCTTTTTTAGAGGACAATCATTTATTTATGTCCTCTATCAGTCATCGATTCCTATAATCTGTCATCTTTTTAAAAAAAAACTCATATTTTAATTTCTAATTGGGTAATAAATGTCCATAAAAAATTATTAATTATTAAATAATTATCAAATCTACCTAAAATCGGGCGAATCTATATATGGGAGCTATATCTAAATCTGCACTGATTTTACGAAACTTAGCACACATAATAAATGTCCATAAAAAATTATTAATTATTAAATAATTATCAAATCTACCTAAAATCGGGCGAAACTATATATGGGAGCTATATCTAAATCTGCACTGGTTTTACGAAACTTAGCACACACCATGCTTGACTTAACTCAGTACTCTGCAAAATTCGTGCAAATCAAAAGATTTTCAGGGACTTTGGAGCACTATTTACCTAAAATCAGCGAAACTATATATGGGAGCTATATCTAAATCTGAGCCGATTTTCACGAAACTTAGCACACATCATTCTAAATTTAATTCAGTACTCTATGCCACAATTCGTGCACCATTTACCTAAAATCGGACGAAAATATATATGGGAACTATATCTAAATCTGATCCAATTTTCTCCAATTTCAATAGAGTTCGTCTTTGGGCCATATAAGTGACTTGTGCAAAATTTCATCCAAATCAGATTATAAATGCGACCTGTACTTTGTTTGCAATTCAACATCAACAGACGGACGGACATGCATAAATCGACTCAGAAAGTGATTTTATGCATATTCTCAAAAGGAACCATGGGTCTATCTCGATTCCTTTTGCCTGTTACAAACATATGCACCAAGACTAATACCATGTACCACAGTGTGAAGGGTATAAAAACAGACAAACTAGCTAGGCGAGGATCACAATCTACATATATAGCAATCGCTAACTCTAAATTTTTTTCGAAATATTGAGACGAAACGTTGGGACATGGGCTAAGCGATAGTCTATGCGAACAATTTCCTTAAAGGCCACCTATCCGAATGAATTGAAATTTTTACACGAGATATCTCTTGAATCCTGATTACCGGGACATTATATATTTTGGGAAGAACGTATATTTCCCTAGTTATATTTTAATTTGTCATTTCCAACAGAGTTAAAAAGCTTATACACTCCTTATTCACCCACATCGATAGATTATTTTTAAATTTTATGAAACTCCCAGAAAGTAAGGTGGCTTACCGCGGACAAACTTGAATTTTGCCTTGCCTTATATATTGGTATCAATTTGAAGCATCGGATTACGGATTATAGGCTTCAAAAATTGCATTGAGACTCTTACATCGACGTTACAGATGCTCCTATCAAATAGAATAGTTTTTGTGGGTTTACATCATTCGATCGAGTGTTCAACACTTTCTCCTCTAAACAGATGCCAATACCGGCTACGCGATACAATTTTCAATAGAATAATTCCACTGGAATCCTTATCCTATGAACAGAAGCAAAAATCGGCAAAACGACAGTATCTCCTCTTCGGTCGAGCATTTAAGAATTTCTCCCATGAACCGTTTCAGATACCCATGCAGAGCTTTGGAGGCCCATATCACAGGAAACGCTGAATGAAATATTAGGCTGCGGAAAAATAAATTCATTATTTTTTCGGCAGATGGCTGTACTGATTGATTTCTCGTAAAGTATCGACCAAACAATTTCATATTTATGCTCGTTGGAAGGGTGACATTTTGCAGTAAAAAAATATTTCGCTTTTTTTTGTTTGGTGCATTCAGTTGTGGGTTACAGTGAACAATGGAAGTGAACAATGAGAAAATTCGGTACATTTTACAGTTTTTCTTTGACAAAGGCGAAAATTCAAGTCAAGCGGCTAAAATTGTGGTTATGATAACAGCCAATTATGTGCAATTTTGGTTTCGTAGATTCCGTTCAGAATTTTTTGATGTTAAAGATGCACCTCACGTCTTTAAAATGATAACAAATCATACAAGAAAATTGTGAATATTTGACCTAAATTGGACATTCCGAAGCATGTTAAGTAAAGTCCTGTAGTTCATATAAAAATAATGGATTTCTTTTTCCCCAACCTAATATGTTTAAAATAACAAATCAGTACTGCTCTACTACAGGGAACTGATATCCTGATCTTCTGTCTTCTATTTTCTTGAGATTTTTAGGATAGGAAAAATTAAAATTAGTTATACCGTAGTGCAGCGTTAACAATCGACGCAAAGTAACGGTCGGCGTATTTGGGTGAACATCTGTGTTAAAAAGAATTGAATGAAAAGTTATCGAAAATTTCAAAGCATAAGTCTATTTATTCCAAATGATTGATTCCAGTGAGAAATACATAATTGTAGAGCCAGCAGATTATTATCTATGCATATTTCGTCATTCTCATAGTGTGGCTATTTGAGATGCACCCTCGCAAATATAATGAACTAAATATTATTTATATACACAAGCCCATTAGTCGATTAAATTTTTTATCAAAATTCACTCATTATTTTGTAATTGAAACTATTTTTAAATCAGTTAATTCGCGATTAGAAAATACAATTGTCAAAACAAATGACTAGCCGACGTAAACAATTGAGAAAAATAAGTTTAATCTCACGCCCTCTCTCTATTTCTTCTATGACTGCCACAAAAACAACATCAACTCGTTGTGCAAAAACAAAGAATGATCGTCACTACAGAAGAGTATTGGGAGGCACGGCCGGTTGCTACCACCTGATTATAAACACATGTTTGGGGGTCTTTATTTTCCATGGAGTCCAAGTTGTTGTCAAGTTTATGTCTTCTTCATCATCATATTTATTGGCATTCTCTGTATTTGTTCGTCGTTCCATTCATACAGACAGATAACGCTATTGTCTCTCACACAAAAAACGAGAGCTCTGCTGTTCACTCACTCAACTTGTATGTTGTTGTTTGTGCAAAACTGTCAGATTTTTTTCTATATGTTTTTATTTGTACGCATTTTTTTCCAAGCGATTCTCGACGAACGTACGAATAGGCGAATAGGAGAAATTATCACCAAATTATGTAATGTAGATTTCTTTTCTTTCAATTTTTCTTATAGAAAAAAATAGAAAAAAAACATAACTTTCAAAAATTAAATTGGAATTCAATATTTTATAAAATTTAGTTAAGAAATTACTTTGAGAAGATTGCTGTTGTTTAACTGGCGGGGTAAGTATTTTTTTAGAACTGCCACGGCATTGCGATTTCTCAAAATATGGGCGGACATTATATTTATTTAGATTTTATATAGATCACTAAACACTTTTCTTAATATTATTTTAATTTACAACTAATTTGTGTTTTTAGTTTTTGTCTTTTTTATTCCAATTCAAATCTAAATGCCCAGAGAAGAACCACGTCCGCCAAAGCCAAGAAAACGAAAGCAACTAAATATGAAATATATTTTTTTCGTGTTCTTTCTAGTTCTCCACTCTTCCTCACTGATTTTTTTTCATTAATTAACATAAAGTTGTTTTGAACTTGTCCACTCAGTAACAGCTGGTATCAGAAGATACTTTCTGACGTTGCGGGTTGGAGCAAACTATCAATACAAACTGAGAGAATACGATCCATAGAGAGTTCTATGTTGAGAGCAAATGATTTTATAACCGAAAAATAATTTTAAAAATGCATAGAGGCCTAGTCAAATTGCATTTTTTATTGAATTTAGTATAGGTATATTTAAATAATTAAAAAATAACAACACGTGTTTGAAAAGAAAACAAAATCATCCTAGTGCTTTTTTGGAAAAATATGGACTTACGATTAAAATAATATATATTTCTTTTCTTGTGGAAATATATATTTCCTAAAATATAGGCCCCAAATCAATAATCAACTGAATCAATTTGAGGTAACAGTCGTAACATCGCACAGGAGCCAATAATACAAAGCTGGATTCAAAAAGAAGCTCGATGTTTGCGTGACACACCAATTAACAGAAAAAAATAGGATGGATCGAATTTCCATCTGCGAAGCCTTGGTCAAACGGAATGATATAGACCCATTTCACACATACGATAACCCTGTGCGAAAACGATGTGATCAAAGATCGGTGAAGCACCTCAAGCACGGTGGCCAAACTAGAACTAACGTTCTGCTATGCATTTGGTGGGACTGTAAGGGGTTTATTTATGATGAGCTGCTTCCATATGGCCAAAAGCTAAATTCTGATCTCTACTGTCAACAACTGGACCGTTTGAAGATAGCAATTGACCAGAAACGGCCAAAATTGGCCAACAGGAGAGGTGTCGTGTTCCACCAGGACAACGCTAGGCCACACACATCTACAGTGACTCGAGAGAGGCATTATGAAGATAGCTTTAAAATGACAACAAATTATACAATAAACCGGCATGTTAAACAAAGTCATACAGTTCATATAAAAACAATGGATCTCTTTTTCCAAACCTAATATATATACAAGCCCTCATCGTTATGACATTATTTCCATACTGAAAACCTCTGAACAAAGCGATATTTCTTTAAAGCTTATATAGCCTCTTCTTGAAGTTGTCTTAAAACTATCGATTTCGAAAGATCAATATTATTTCGGTCGCACCATTTTATACTTTACTATCGAGCATTATCCATCCGGCATGTTTTACGTAGGATGGGGAATCTTCAAGGGAAACTTAATTCTAAAAACATTTCAAAATATGAATCTCAAATCTGCAAAGATATTTATAAACCTCCATGAACCCGAAATTAACTGCCACTTCGGTTGGCGGCTAAAACCTTGAAAATACCGAACTATTACAATATGCATCACTAAAATCTTGAACCAATCGAAACGACCAAAATCTGAAAGCTTATGATAGTATAAGAAAATCTATATATGGGTTTTGAATTATGAGCTAAGGGTTTTGTTTAAGCATGGTTTTGCGTTTTTCGATTTGGAGTGGATTTTTAAATAATACATACTACTTATCACGTGATTTCTATGACTATAAAATACTATTCAAAACATTACTACGATTCTTTCCCTGCTGCGAGCAAAGATCCATGTGTATCTTATATTACCACTTTATTTCTACAGACAATTGTACTAGTTCAAATTTCAACAATTTACGAGTAGAGTTTGGTTTGGGACACTGATTGTAGTGTATTTCTACTGACAATGTCGACAGTTGGCTTTTCTTTTATTGTCATTAAAACATATTGAATATATACACATTTTTATGTAATTTTTTTGTAGATCGCATCGAAACAACGCGTTTTTATCGGCAATTAATTTGTTTTGTGTGTTTTATTGTTAAAAAGGTGATTATTTATTAAATATATAAACAAAATGAGTAAAAGAAATTATAAAAGATTAATTAAAAAACAAAAAATATTGTATAAAAACAGAAGTTTGCAATGTGAACAAGAAAATAGTGAAAGTGAATTTGTGTCAAACGGTGGAGATTTTATAAATGATTTCGTGGAAAATGGAATGGAAGATTTTGCAGTTCCGAAATTAATGTTGCGGGACAAACTTAAAAAGTGGTGCATGGAAACGAATCCTTCAAAGAGCTCTCGTGTGCAATTGTGGCCAATCCTTTGCAGAATCGTTAATATTCAGGAGAAAACAAAACCGTTTGTTGTTGGATTATACTTGGGAAACACCAAGCCGGGTAGTGTGAATGTGTATTTGAAAGACTTCATTGATGAAGTGATTCTACTAAAAGGTCAGTTTATCATACAACAAAAACATTTAAAATTGAAGTTTCGTTGCTTAATATGTGACGCACCAGCAAAAGCTTTCGTTTGTGGAGTTCCTGGACATACATCAACACATGGCTGCACCAAGTGTACTCAAATTGCGAAGAAGGTAAACAATGTCTTGACTTATAGTAGCGAGAGTGGTTCCCTAATCTCCGATGAGGACTTTGCTGTGCGAAAGTATCCATGCCACCATTCCCAAATGTTCAAGAAAAAACTCCTCTCGAAGAAATTGGATTTGGTATGATAAATCAGACTCCTTTAGATAGCATGCATCTCATTGACCTCGGAGTCACCAAAAAAATGCTAACCAGAATAATGCATAATAAAACTGAAAAGAAAACCTCAAAACAAAATATTTCAAAAATATCTTCTGAATTGGTGAAATTTAAAAAATACATTCCAAGGGAATTCCCAAGAAAACCCAGGCCTTTAGATGATCTTTGTCATTGGAAAGCGACTGAATTTCACCAGTTCCTTGCTTATACAGGAATTATTGCTCTTTATAATAATGTACACGAAGATATTTATTATGAATTTTTAACTTTACATTGTGCTTATCGACTTCTTAACAATGCACGACATATGGATCAAAATATTGTTCAAGCTAATAATTTGCTTCAATTATTTGTCGAGAACTTCTCAACTGTATTTGGTTCGAACAGCATTTCTTTTAACGTTCATAATCTGCTTCATTTGGCTTCTTGCGCAGAAAAGTATGGTCCCCTTATTTCGTTTTCTGCATATGCATTTGAAAATAAACTGCAAACACTGAAAAAACATGTTCGAAAACCATCACATATCTTTCAACAAATTATTCAAAAGGAAAAAAATTGCATGATTGTCAACACTATTCAGGATGGGTTAAAATATGAAAAAGGTGTTATCGTTGGAGCTTTTGTAAATGATTGCTACATATCCTGCAAAGAACCAGATAATATTTGCGCGGTGAATTCATGCATTCCAATAAAAATTGATAATATAAAGAAAAAGGGCGAAATATATATTGAAGGCAGTCGAATTTTGGCATTAGAAAGTTTCTACGAAGAACCGGTGAATTCTTGTGAGATTGGTATTTTCAAAACGAATCTGACTCTAGGGGAAAAAGAGACATTTTGTATTAAAGACATTCAGTTCAAATTTGTATGCTTGCCAATTGATTCTGATTTTGTAATCGTGCCCATTTTACATTCCTGCTTTCCAGAGAAATATCAAGCACAAATTTTTACCTCCTAAGTACACAACTCCCGCACATAAACATGTCGAACGAAAATGCCAACCCTTCCAAAGGAAAAATGAAATATTTTGCTCCACAAGGTAATCTCCAAAGATTATCACTAAATTTTTAACAGTATAACAAAATTGAGTTCATATTTTTGATAGCTAATGCAAAATGTTCTTCCTGCCAAGAAAATGCCAGAAAACTAGACACGATTATTGATATTTTGGCGGAGCATAAAGTTTTACTGGATCGTGTTATTTCTCAGAACGCATTTGTGGACAATATTATGACAATTTTTCCAATTGAATCGGAAGAAAAACTTCGAGAATTTGATCGAATTCTCGCAACACAAGCAGATCTATATGTACGTATCTGCGTTTTGGGAATAACAAATTCATAACTAAAACAATTTTTACAATTGCAGACTCGACAAATGAAAAATCTCATTGCAGGTAACGCTGAACGTAATTTGCATAAAGTATTTGGAAGAAATATTATTATGGATTTTAATGTTGACGGAACTTTCGGGAAAAAAGGTCTACGAGATTTTGGTAATGTACTTGCCGCCATAATAGGTAAAACGTGTTTGTTTTTGTTTCAAATAAGTAATGCTAAAATATAGTTTATAAAACAGAAGTTATATCAACATTTAATAAATTACCTGACAAGACTTTACGAGCAGCGTTCCAACGCCAAAAGAAAAAGTATTTTAAGATCAACAAACGAAGCAGGCGCACCGAAGAAAAGGAACAAGATGAAAATGATGAAGAACCACAAATTTAACTGAATGTTTTTATGTTATACTATATAATTTTAAAATCCTAGTTCTAACACTATTCAGTTTTATTAAAAATAAGACAAGGTTTGGCCAGCCTTGAAAAAAGTGAGCTATATATGTAATCCATTTCTTAATTTATTACCTTGCCTAAAATTCGCAGACTGTTTTAGATTAATTAAATATATTGTGTGTAGATTGAACTGTGCTTTACTTTTGTTTTTGTTACTTAATAACTGCGTTAAAAATGTAACGTTGTTAAATACTTATTCTATTACAAGCATTTTCCTAAAAATCTCAAATGACTATTTGGTTCGAATGCCTCCATATGATCTCGAAAGGACTAATGGTCTTCTAGTGTTTATTTGGTTCAAATGTCTACATATAGCTCAGGATACCCAATAAAATGCAGTGATTATTTGGTTCAAACGTCACCATATAAACTTAAAAGATCTAATCTTTTTCTAGTGATTATTTGGTTCAAATGTCTACATATAGCTCAGGAAACCCAATATAATGTAGTGATTATTTGGTATACACGTCATCACATAATCTCAAAAGATATAATCTTTTTCTAGTGACTATTTGGTTCAAATGTCACCATATAGTCCCAAAAGAACTACTTAGTCAATATAGTCAAGGTCTACTGGTACTTCTCCTATGACAAGCCTATGTTAAATGTCCATAGGAAATTACATTGGTTGTGGTATACTTTTTCACTAGTACTAGCGACAATGTCACCAGTAAAACACTACAATTTTACTAAAGCTGCTCGCTGCAGGGTTGTTACAATTTTCAAAAAATATACTAAACTAAAAACAAATTTTCAAATGGCTAAAGCGACAACAATCAAAGATGCCTTAACCAAATGGGAAGAACGTACAAAAGAAGATTCAACCAAAGCTGTCGATATTGGTTTACAATTTCAATGGCCGCCAATTGAGAAAATGGATGGTACTCTTAATACATTGCTGGAATGTCGTAAATTAAGTTTATCTTCGAATATGATTGAAAAAATTACCGGAATTGGCAATTTGAAAAATTTGCGTATACTCTCCTTGGCGCGAAATAATTTAAAGGCTATCAGTGGAATTGTACTAGAGTAAACAAGAAAGGTTACCATATAAATCTACAATTTGAAATATTTTCAGGAACCGTTAGCCGACACATTGGAGGAATTATGGGTTAGCTATAATGTCATAGAGAAAATTAAACCCATTGAAGTTATGAAGGCTTTGAAGGTATTTTATATATCTAATAATTCGATTAAAGATTGGGCGGAGTTCAATCGTATGGGTGCTGCTCCTAAATTGGAAGAGATTTCCTTCATTGGTAATCCTCTGTATGAATCAATGGAAGAGAATACATTTCGCAGTGAAGCCATTCGACGTTTACCAAATCTTAAGAAATTAGATGGTGAACCGGTTATTAGAGGAGATTAGACGTTCGGTTTGGTTTTAGTTATTTTTATTAATAGTTTAGCTAAATAAAAAAATATATATTGAAATCTATAAAATCTTAATTTATATTTTTATTACTATGATGTTTCCATAACTTCTTCCGATTGTTGACTTGTTGAGGGTGTAACTTCGTTTGCAGGCGTGGCTCCCTTGGCTGTTTCATATTCCTTTTTAAGCCGTTGTAACATATTGTGTGAAACTAAATCCAATTTCAAATGTTGTACATTAATGGCACTGCCATCCCAATCCATAAGGGATTTAAATTTCAGTGGATCACAAAGGTTTAACAGTTCTGCAAGGAAGAAGAAATAATATTTAAAAATCATTGCAAATATGATTATGGTTTTTTTAAATAAACCTACCCATGCCACCAGCCTTGTATTCATTGATCTCCTTTTCCAGTGTAATTTTAATAACATCTTCTCTGGCTTTGTGTTGATTGGCCCGGTTTTTACTAATGGATTGCTTCAGGGCAATTTGTTCAAGTTCTTCATCGAATCGTTTCAAATACAATTCAATCAGTTCTTCGAATTCAACTGGTGTCAACGGATGTTTACGTCCCTCTTCAATATGTTCCAAAAACCAAGTAAGCTTCTCTCCCATAATATTGGATTTAATGGCATGTCCCAGTCGTTGTTTATGTTTGTTATTTTGGCGTCGTGCCTTCTTACTCAGTGCCTTGGTCTTACGGCTGTTAGGATGTTTACATTTTTCCAATTCTTTACGTAGATTTGTCTAAAACAGTTAAACACTTATTAGTATTAAACACAAATAAGTTCTTTATTATTAAAATATTTACCATTTTTATAAATATTAATCCAAATCCAATTAATTCCGATCAATTCGGTTGTTCTGAAGACGTAGTCTCTGTTTTTCACGTGCACGTTGTTTTTGTTTTGGTTTATTAAATTCTTCTTCTTCTTCTCAATTGGTATCATTGATATGCCAATAGGATTGAGAACGAGATAAGTAAATAATTTTTAATCCAGATTTCAATATTTGTAAACAATTAAAATAAAAACAGAGTAGTGTAGTAAAGAGATAGATCTGATTTATTTATTAAAAAATATTTATTTAAAACACATAATGATATTTTAATTTAAATAATATTAAGAAAACATTTCCCAAAGATTACTTCAACGTTTTGTAAAACAATTTTGTGTGAAACACCCTGTTATAAAACCACAACATATTTTGTGTGTACAGTACAATTGCTTTCGACAGCTCCACTTATCGTATGACAACTGTCATTTCTCTTCAACCCCCTTTAGATGCAAATCCCCAACGAAAAGCATAACAAACTCGTGCAGAAGAGGTAGGCTAGAGAAGTGTTATTAAAAAAATCCAAACAATTGTGAAATAAGTTCTATTATGTAAACAAAACAGTGTCCAAAACAATTCCAAATATTTTTTTGTATTATATTTGTTGATACTTTTCACTAACGGGGTTTCTTCTGCTATTCCAGAATATTCTTGGAACTTACACAACACCTAAATAACACAACAAACTGAACAGCCATGGGTAATGCTCCAGTCAAAGAAGTTGCCAATAGCAGTACTGTAGAGGCTCCCGCTGCCAAACCAAAATGTAAAGCCTGCTGTGCTTGTCCAGAAACCAAGAAGGTTCGCGATCAATGGTAAGTTTTTGAGATGTTAGTCATTTATTGGGTAGTTTTAAGTGTGTGTCATACATCTGCTATGAGGACAAGGGAAATTTCATTAATGATTAAGGGAATAGACATTCGAGGTATTTCGAATTTGGTGCATATGTCCACTACTGCAATTAAAATTAGGAACATGGAACAATAGGAGTACTTCCATCTCACTTTAGACGAGTATTTGATATGTTTTTTTATTTAACACATGTGGGTTATTGATGGCTTAAAAATAGATCTATTTACATACGTAGAAAACAAAATGGTATAATACCACTTGAAGTATGGACTGAAATAATTTCTCCATAATTATTTTAGCTATATGTATCGATGTTGTTGTTGTACCTATGTGTAAAATTTGAAAGTCATAATGATATCATATGAAAAATCCACCATTTCATATGACAACTTAATCATTTTGGAAAACTGAGATAATGGATTTGATATTAAAATTTAAGTTATCACTATAAGAAAGGTAATGAAATATATTCGAATTTTTGACATCATCAATATTTCATGATGCTTGTCTAATAGATTTGACATAAAAATATATGTTCTAGTGCCCTAGTGTTTGAAACACATAAAAATTGATAAATATTCAATAATGATAATGTAGGTGTTTAATTCCATCAGGCACCAGGCATATTACATCGTTGGAAAACAATTCGATATCGACATACTTTCATATACTTTCTACTTATTTAGCTGGCTTGTGACAGAACGGTTGTTCCATAAGCCGAGCTTAAAAACGATTTCCAAGCACGTCGGTCTTGTGTGCATTTCATCTAATTTGAAAGACCATTTTCCGGGATGTTGTCTTCTACTTGATCTTTCCTTCGGATTTGTGGCCTTCCGCTTCTGCGTGAACCATTACTTGGCTCGCTTTTATATGCCTTTTGAGCTGGGGCATTCTCATTCATTCGCAGAACATGGCCCAGCCATCCTTGTCGCTACAGCTCAATACGACTGACTATGTCGATGACCGCGTATAAATTGTAAAGCTCGTGGTTCATTCGACGCCGATATTCACCGTCTACGGAGATCGGCCCGTAGATCTTTCGGATAATTTTTCTTTCAAATACCTCAAGAGCTGACTCGTCTGCTTGCGCAAGCTTCAGATCCGTGTCATGTAAAGTGTGAGTTTGGTCTGGCGGGAGGTGGCCTTGTTTCTGGACGGGCTGTCAAATGCGGCTTTATAGTCGACGAATAGGTGGTATGTGTCGATGTGTTTTTCGTGGGTCTTTTCCAGGATTTGGCGCGGAGTGAAAATCTGGTCAATGGTGGATATGCCATGTCTGAGGTTCCAATCATTGGGCATGCATTCCTCTAGCCAAATTGTACTAATCAGCTGGTGCTTGCTCCTGACCAGCATCTGACCATCAGTCTTGAATAGTTCGGTTGCTAAATCGTCGGCTCCTGCTGCTTTATTGTTCTTGAGCCGATTAATTGCTTTTATGATCTCATCTTGGCTAGGTGGTGTACACTCTACACCATCACTCTATATGAACACTCTTTTGGAAAAAAAATATGTTTTAAATTTCCATATTACGGAATGCCTCACAACCACTATACTCAGAAAATGCGGCTTAAACCTTCAAAACAATTGTTAACTATGCGGGATTCGTCAAAATCTGTCTGTATTAATAATTTTCTACATATATGTGGGTGGGAAATGCGGCTAAATGCAGACAATGTCTCGGTACCGTTATATAGGATATACCAACTTTTAAATCAATATTGATATTTTTTGATAGGAAGATTTGACAATAAACCGAATGAGCCAATATTGAATATTTTGTTGTTTTTTATAAAAACAACAAACTGGGATTCAGCCTGACTATTTTGCAAAAACCAAATATAAATGGTATCCCAAATAAACCGCCAACTCTAATGGAGATTCCCAAAATTCTATTTAGAATGAGAATCCCAAAAATATAAACCACTTCATTTAAAACCATGCCGAAACACCTAAAATATCGAAACATGTGCTGCATCGTGCTAAAACTTTACAAAATACCGAAATTTGGGATTGACAGTGATAGTGGGCTACGATGAAAGTGATTATTTTTGATAGAAACATATTTCCGTTCAAAAATTTGCCTGAAATCTTCGAAGTACTAAATGTTTGAGTTACTATTATATGGGGGATACACCAAAACGAAGTGCGACCCAAGCTCTATCTCTATTGTAATCACAACCGATAGGCGGATATGAAAAAAACGGGAAAAGGAACTCAAGTTTTCTTAAAGGTAACAATTCAGCTACAAAACACAACAAATAAATTATATGTTATAGTATCCGAATTTTGTGCTTGTCACGCCTAAACCTTCCAATTGGTTTTCTTAGTTCTTAAACGGCATTTACATTAGAGCTTTTTACCGGGTTAACCTACTCTATAAGGATTTATTTGACATGTATACAATGGAATTGACAATTGAAACCGACTGGGTTAACGAAATCCGGTATAATGTAAACGTACTATTATATGTTTATTAATTAAAAATTAGTGGCAAATAATTTAATTTTCGCGTTTAACTTTGTTCCTTTCCGATTTCAGAATAAAAATAATATACCAACATCACAAATTATTTGATCCGTATAAATTAATTCACCTCTGTTCGCTGTAGCACACACAACAGCCGAGTCACAAACCCTGTATTTGTAAATAATAACACAACAGTAGAGGGGGGTCTAATAGAATCGCAGTTAGGTTATTTTTTAAAATCCTATGGCGCTGCTATAATAAAATTTATTGGTTTTACACTTGAACTTATACTTTTTGATTATTTACATTGAATTTCGAATATATACGGCTGAAATGTTACCACTTTTTATGGTTGAAATACACACTAGTCGATAAACATAATTTTATCTAAAGAAGCTTTTGTAGTAAACCAAAACTGCACCACAATAACAAATACAAAGAAAAACAAAATTAACTAACACTTGTTAACCGAAAAACGGAGAGTAAACTGGGAGGAGATGAAAGTTTTACTCTTTCAACAGCGATACGGAAACGTTGTTGCAAAAGGAATATTTTTTATTAATAAAGAGCTTTTGTAGCCAAACGCACACAGATCGAACATCGAACAAACAATACCGTCTAAAGCAAAAACATTTTAGGATTTTGGATCAAGGAATATTGCAGAATATATTTTTTATTCAATATGAAGAACTGATTTTAAACTATTTTGTGTTGTATTAAAGTTTTTTAAATTATTTTTTTTTATTATTTTGCAACAAAAAATTATCCTCTTGTAAAACTCTCTCTAATTGGTATAATGGGAAGAGTAATTGAACAGGTCTGACTTAAAGAGGAACATTATTTTTTAAGAGTGCAATTTGATTTTTAAGAGTGAGTACTTAAGATGGCGCCGACCGAACTTAACAACATTTTCGCATCTCTGAAATAGCGGCAATGGAAACTGGAGGAACGGGAATATGTTCCAGTTTCGTAACCTTATGATTGAACATTTCTAAAAATCTCTCATACTGGAATGCTGGAAAGTATGAAGGCTGACATAACCATAGACAAATCATAGACAAACGAATGTATAGACACCAAAGTACTCAGGAAAGTGCTAGTGAAGTGACTCAAACCATAAAACTCAAAGCCAATTTGTAGCTAAAGTATCAATATTTTATAAAATATATTTATATTGTGTTATAGATTTTGCAAAAATCTAACTATATATATTGCCTTCCACCGTAAAAACTTTATAAATTCGATTTAAAAAGGAAAATAGCTGTTAGCTAACTCAATTTGAGAGAGCGATGGTGAGAGCATTTTGGTGTCTATGCCATAGACTAATGAATGTATAGACACCAAAGTGCTCAAGAAAGTGCTAGTGAAGTGACTCAAACCAAAAAACTCAAAGCCAATTTGTGGCAAAAGTATGAAGATATTATGTAATATATTTATCCTATGTTATAGATTTTACAAAAATCTTAGTATATTTATTGTCTTCCGCCTTTAAAATATTATAAAATCGATTAAAAACGGAAAATACCTGTTAGCTAACTCAATTTGACAGAGCGCTGGTGAGAGCATTTTGGTGTCTATTCCTTCATTTGTCTATGTCTATGCTTTCATTTGTCTATGACATAACGAAGGATGTTCAAACGAATATTGGTTATATGGGATTCCATTGACTATTAAGAGAGAGTAGTGGAATTAGGCCCATTGCCTCTGACAGGAGGAAAATAAATATTTCAAAATAACTCTGAGAGGAGTTATAAGGGAAATGGAAGGAATGGATGGAAAGAGGGGTAATAAACGCCGTATTTAACATTTCCGATTTTATGTGGATTTAAAGAAAATAAATATTTCAAAATAAAACTCTTATTTTTTATATGAACCGAGTGACCCAACCAAAACCAAAAAATGGGCATAAGGGGAAATGGACAAAGGATTATATGTGCGTGGAAGATATGTAATACAAATTGTGTATTTTGCTCACAATAAATATAAGTCGATTCTCGTTTCCTGAAAGAGACTTAACGAAGATCGTCTCTTCGGTCGTAGAGATGGATAATAAATAGTGAAAATTTAACAGCATAATTTGTTGATATCAGTAATCGAATATTCAGAACAAAGGTATTTTTTAGTAACTTTTTACTCAAAAAGGTACCGAAGTTCGATTATAGGTATTTAGAATTTTCATGGTGGATAGTATGAACCAAGTTCCATTAAACAGGTTTTGTTTACGTTTTCTTACGATTAAGTCAAAGTTGAAGCATTTTGACAGGTCGGTTGAAATCATATGGACTTATAGTACAAACATATTACTGGCACAAGGTATAAATCATTTTTTTCTTGTTATACGATTGAATTCTTTGGAGGCATAAATCTGCAAATGAAGAGTACTAAATATTTGTTCAAAACGTATGGTAACTCTTTTCTTTTGTTTCCTTCATAAAATCAGCTGATTAACATTCTTTCATGCCTCTTTCTAAACATTATGCTTCACATTCATTCGTAAACATGATGGGTTGTCTTCCATTTTGTTTCGATCGTAGTATTCATCAGTCATTCTTTGATGTCTGTCTCAATTCGCAGCATGTGAAACGTTTTTAGGTTAGGTCGGTCATTTTCAAACGACAGAGACAAACTCGCGATTTGTGAAAGAAAATAGTGATATAAAATATATTGTGAATGAAATTGAATTAAAAACACTACAATATTTTGGGAATAGTGATTTTCTTGGAAGAAATACTTCATTGGACACCACAATTCCATTACAAAACGTTAACAAAATGGATGCAAGTCAAATACAAAAATTACCCCTGAATGCTGATGATATTAACCCTACGGAGAGTATACACTTTATACAGGTACGTCCGACAGTCGTACCTAATGGCAACAAAAAATTAATGCTACATTTCGTTTTTAGCAACTACAAAATGTGCAACTGGAATTGCCCGATGTGGAACATTTAATTGCACATATAAAGGCAATTATTAATAAAGAACTACGATTGGGCCAAGGCGGAGAAGCCGCGGAGGATTCTTGTACAAATTATAATCAAATAATAGTGAATGTTTGTTTCCGCCATTACTACCAATTTTTGCAAAAATATAATTTGGAAGATAATTATTTTCATGGTTACATAGCCGAAACGGCCAATGGAAATGGAAAGGAGAATTTTGTCATATTGTATTATGTACTAATGACCTGCCAGCAGAATATTGATATGGAACCTGAAACTATTAAACAACGTTGCCTGAAGGCTTTCGCTGTGGCTGTGGACAATAATGATAGCCATTTATTGGATGTTTTAAAGTGTCTCAATTTGATATTCAAGAAATGGCCAGATTTAGAGGTGGAAGATGCGGATCTTTCCCTGGAACATATTTATTTTTGTCTACAATCAAATCAGCTGGGCATGAGGGATGAAATGTTAACATTTTTACAACAAGTGTGTTTGTGCCGTGCCAGAGCTTTGGATTATTTTATACGCATTGTGAATTTTTGGCCATGGACATATCGTAACAAACTTTATATGCTATCGGCTATATTAAATAAAAATTCCTTGCAAGAATTGATGGCTAAAAGTGGATGTAACAGAGGGGAATTTTTTAAAGGTCTTCGATCCACCTTGTGTTATAAAAACCTATTACCAGCTAGTCAACATGTCATAAAAGCTTTAAGTGGACAAAGATCCAACGATCTGTTAATAATGTGCAATGATATTTTACAAAATGGTTCTCTGCAGGAAATGCGAAATTTACATTTGCAATGGTTTTCCCGATTACAACAGAAAGAGGAACTCTTTGAAATGTTTTGGAAAGATCTTGCAATAAAAGACGTGGGTGATAAGGATACCAAGACTTATCGACATGTTCTGTTATGTTCCATGTTTGCCAAAGAAATTTTACAAATATCCCCAGAATGTTTTTCAAAATTAAGTAATGAATTTTTAACAAATTATTCTCAATACGATTTGGAATCACAATTGCTAATTTATAAATTTGTAGTAGATAATTTAAATAATTTAAAAATTGAAAATTGTCTAGAATTTGTTGTGAGCTTTTCAAGAGCTCATATGAATGTTGAAAATTCTCAATTTCGTAATACAATTTTAGCCAAAATGTCCATAATTATAAATCACCTTGCCAAGTTGTTTAGTAAAAATAAAGGGGAACAAGAAGATAATTTTGAATCGGTTATATTAAACTATTTTGAAAATTTACAAAAAGATGTTGAGCTGGGTATTTCCGAACAGTTATATCAACCAAAAATATATGGTCTAAAACTTTTGGAAATTTTAATACGTTCCCTATATGGAGAAACTGTTACCAGAAATACTAAGAATTGTTGCCTAAAACATAATCAAATTTTAGCGAAATTTTTGAAGCAAAAGAGAATATTTCAGGCGGAGAAAATTTCCCAACATTTATTTAGGTTTCTTCATGATCCCTGTGGTTTTGATGATGCCTTGGATTTAATAGTAACACTTATAGGTCTCATTAAAAGCCAGAATGAAGAACTAGCCCAGCAGGCCAAGGAAAGATGTTCGGATTGCAGGAATCTTAACGATGTGGATGAGGCAAATTTAAGTTTTCTCTATTCCAAAGTTGTTGTACAAAATTCCGACAATAATTCATTTTTATTGGATATTTTTGAAAACACTTTGGAAGATATTAGAATAAGATTACCTTCCTTTAGAGAGGATCCATTGTGTGTGTGTAAAACAAAAGGCTGGCATTTATTTAGTTCCATTAATGTCTTAAATGAATTTGTCCACTATAAACCTAATTTATTTCTAGAACATTTTCTGGACATTTTGAATATCATAGAACAAATTGAATTGATAATTTTAAATATGCTTAATATTTGTAATAATATTAAGGGTGATACCAAAGAGGAGGAGCTGTCCGCAGCTTCATTTGAAGATATGGATAAAAGTTTAGAAATCTTAGTATCTCGAAGTCAATTCAGTTGTGATGAAAATGATCATGAACAAATACGTAAATATTTATTAATGTCATTTTGGCTTACTCTTAAATCATGTTGTGATTTGGCAGCATCTATGGCGGAATTTATTGTAACAACAAACAATAATTCCCCAATCGATAGCAAATTGCATTTCTTGGAGAGATGCATAAATATTAGTGTAATAGTATTGACAAAATGTCGACATAAAGGTGCCATAGAAGCTGCCGGTGTTACAATTGGTAAAATTACAAAATCTATAACTTCTCAGTTACCACCACACACCCCGGAATATCAGCTCTTCCACACATATCTGCAACAACTTTATGATTGTGGAGGCAAGAGGGAAGTAAGCACCACACGTAGGGGTGCTGGATTTTCCATAATGTTTTTGCATATTGTGAAAAATGAAGATAACCGTGGTAGACCCATTCTAAGAAAAGTTATACGAAATCTGCTAATGGCCACTAATAAAGATAATACTTCTTCCTTGGACTCCTCTTTTAATTGTGATCGTATTGAATCCTTGCATTTACATTATCTCTGCGTTTTAGTAAGAGACACAGAACTGCGGGAGGCAATGTCAAAGTACTACAATGACATCATGATGACTGCCGTTAGCCACATTGATAATCCCGAGTGGACGGTACGCAATGCTGCCCTACAACTCTTGGGCGCTTTGGTACCCAAGATTGTTGGTCAACGCCAGGCCACGGAATTTGAAGAAGAATTGCTATGGGAACCGTCGGAAGTCACATTTTGTGAAATAACTCGGAAATTTAATCTTTCTTATGAGTATATTCTCAATTATTGTCTAGCTGAAAAAACTGCCACAGGTTCAATAATTTTGTTTTTAGAATTTCTACACAAAGTAGAATACATTCACAAACAAGATACTCAAGCACCAAAAAAAGTTCTAGAATTTCGTGAAATGATGTGGTCTCTGCTGCATCATCCATGTGAAAAAGTACGCAAATTATCGGCAAAATGTTTTGTACGTTCCCATGAATTTAGTCATGAATTGCCAAATGCTTTATCGCAAATTGCCGAAATACTATACAAGGTGAAAAATGAAAACTTTTTCGAAGGTTTAATACAAACGCTACATCAGGGTGTTTTAAAATTACAACATGATTTGAAATATGTTGTCAATGAGGAGACATTAACAAATGTAATTCAGAAAATTAACAAAACTTTAGAAGAGAATTATTGTCTTAAAAATAATTATAAATATTATAGTTTATGTAAATTATGGGATTTAATAGAGCACTTAAATATTGGCCAAGATATTTCAAAGTCAGTAATTTTAAACGATTTAAAGAACATACCTCTAAGCAATGACGACAATATTAAAATAGCCTATGATTTATGGCTGCAACGTATACAATCTGTAAATAATGCATAATTTTTTTGATACAATTTAACGCACAATATTTATTTTTACCAATAAGTAAAATATTTAGATTTTAAGATTTTTTATAATAGCAAAAATAAATACCAAATTATTTTAGTTCATGTAACGTAAAATTTATAATAAACAATTAACTTGATTTAAATTTAATGGGATTTTTTCTGTAAATATGAGTTCGTATTATTATATAGGAAATCAGTAGATCCTTTTACTTTTGTTTTTTATATAATATAGATTTTTATATATGGATTATTCGACGAATATGTGGAATGTGTCGATGTATTTTTCGTGGGTCTTTTCCAGGATTTGGAAAATCTGGTCTATGGTGGATTTGCCAGGACTGAAACCCTAGGCTTCAGACGTTCACACAGCACGTTGGATAGCATTTTAAATGCGATGGGAAGGAGACTAATTACTCTATAGTTGGCACATATCGTCTTGTTTCCTTTCTTGTGCACGGGATATATGATGTTCCAATCATTGGACATGTATGCCTCTAGCCCAACTGTACTAATCAGTTGGTGCATGTTACCTCTACCCCAACTGTACTAATCAGTTGGTGCATGTTGCTGACCACCGGCCTTGAATAGTTCGGCCGGTAATGCATCAGCACCTGGTGCTTTATTATTCTTCAGCCGATTGATTGCTATTCTGACCTCATCTTGGCTAGATGGTACACACTCTATACCGTCATCTATTATTGGTTCTGGGGTATCCTCTTCGCCGCTATTTGATACCAGCAGCGTTTCAAGATGCTCCTTCCAGATCCTCAGACCACTATCTGTATCTGTCACCTGGTTTCCATCTTAATCTCTACTGGAGGATGTGCCTGCACCAAAGCCTTCGGCTTGGTATTTTACTTGTTGGTAAAACTTCCGGGTTTCATTCTGACTCCTGTACATATCGATTTGATCACCCTCACCTTTTTCTTGTTATTTCTTCTTTTTTCTGAAAATATGTTTCTCCTCTCTCCTTTTCTCCCGATAATTTTCCATCGCATTACGTGTTACTACTGTCTGCAATAGCATTACGACACTCCCTTGGCGCCCAAGTACCCTTTGGTTTTTGGTACCCAAGTGTTGATTTTGCTGCAGTTTGTAGGGAGTGGGAATTTTTTTGCCATTGTGCTTCTATATTATTCTTCGTCTTTGTCTTCCGTCGGAGCATGGGCGCAAATAAGGCTGATGTAAAAGAGCTTCGCTTTTATACGGATTGTAGCAACAGCCAAATTCACGCCTCATTTCATGGCAGCTATAATATAGGGCATAATCATCTGATTACTTACGCCAGTACCTTTCCTATATAGCAATAATATCGGATTTGTACTTCTTGAGTTCTTCCTGTCCAACGTGAGCGAATCTGCACATTCTGTGCGGGGCAATTAACCCGACGCCTCAACCCATTTTTTATAGTTCTTATGGGTGAACTCGCGGCACATATTAGCTCACTATTTCAATGGATGATGAAAGTAGTTACCCCAGGTGACACCGCGGGGAGGTCAGTGTCCACAATAGAGATGAAAGAGGGACCAAGATAACCCAATCGGAGCCTAGATATGCTTGATATCTGTCATCCCCTACGTCACCCAGGTTTGTATGAATTAGAACATAGTATCCCTTTATATTAGCCCATGCCACGTATGGGGACATACTTTTATTTAATATATATTTAATAAGTAATTGAACTAAATTTCGAATATGACCTATGGATTCGCTATTTTTATTTATTTTATTTGTATTTGTCTTAATTAATCTTTAAATTGCAGTGCAATCCAATTACAAAATCGAAAATAATATTAATAATTATTATTTCCATTTTTCATTTCAGTATTATTGAACGCGGCGAATCTGAATGTGGCGATCTAATTGAGGCTCACAAAAAGTGCATGCGGGAACAAGGATTTAACATTTAAAAACGATTATAATTAACTTGGCTAGATGCTATATTATAATTTGATTACTTTATTTCTTTATTGTTTATGTTATTGAAAATATCATTTTACAAATCCTACCCAAATCTCGATTTTCTGTAATGGCCAAATTTCAGAAAAACTTTCAAACAATGTGTAGTCATTATTATGTGTTATTACAAATACAAAATAAAGCGCTTAATTTATTGAAACAAAACAAAAACTATGTTAAAATTTAAAATAAAACAAAAAATAACATTATTAAAGTATATTTACAATTGTTTATTTTATTTGATGGCCCTTTAAAGATATTTCAAATTTTCAATACCAACAACTAATGCCATATAAATGGTTATTAAATACATGGTGAAGAAGGCCAAAAATCTTGATGGCTGTGGTACGGGGCGGAAGGCATATACCAAGGTGTGTATAATACGAGCCACCGCTGCTACACGGAATAAATTACAGGCAATTGTGGGATTTGGATTGGTACAAATATACAGCAAAGCCATTGTGAAATAGGGTAGAATATTTTCCATGTCATTGCGATGGGCTCTGTAAAAAAAATAAATAATGTAAGTAATGTTTTGTATTTAAAGTGTTGTTTAATAATTGTTTACCTTCGTACTCTTTCAACATGTGGATCATTGAATGTAACTTCTATATTTTTAAAGAACAGATCCTCTTGGTTGGGGAATACCTAAAAATAAATGAATTGTAAAATAATATTACCCGTTCAAAAAAATTTTAAATAAGTTGTTTAACTTTTTAAAAATTTATAGAAAAAATAGTCTACCTTTTTGAGAAGACTGTGTGGCATTAGACCCAATATCTGTAAAATTTTGAAAACATTTTAACACCTTTGATTTCCAAATTTTGTTAATTTTAGTTTTGTTAGTTGAGCTTCTAAGGAATATTGCTTCAAGGAAGTACTATCACATGCTTTGAACGAGGATTTTTGAGGAGATTTGTTGAAGGACTATGAGAGGTTTTTGATATTATATTGAAGGATCATCATCAGTTATAAGATATTTAGATTTATATTATATTGGAATTTTGAACAATATTTTTCAAGGCTTAAGCGTGGATTTTTAAGTGATATTTTTCAAGGCCTAAGTCAATACTTTAACGTGGACTTTTAAAGAATATTATATTAGACCTAAGCGTGGATTTTTCAAGGTTTAGTGGTGCATCTTTAAATAATATTTTTCGAAGCCTAAGCGTGGATTTTTAAAGAATATGTTTAAGATCTAACGGGGGATTTTTAAAGAATATTTTTGAAGGCCTAATCTAGGGTTTTTAAAGAATGTTTTTGGATCTTTAAATAATATTTTTCGAAGCCTAAGCATGGATTTTTAAAGAATATTTTTGAAGGTCTAACCTAGGATGTTTAAAGAATTTTTTTCAATGCCTTAGGGTTTGTACATTTTTAAAGATCTAAGCTATTTAAACAATATTTTTAAGGGCCTAATTGTGAATATTAAAAAAATTAGGGCCTAATCGTGGATTTGAAAAAAAATTTTCAAGGCCTAAGCGTGGATTTTTAAGAAATATATTTAAGGGGAGCTATAAGTTAAGTGTGAATTTTTAAAGAACATTTTTCAAGATTTTTAAAAATATTTTTAAGAGGAACTATAAGGTCAATGAGCGTGCATTTTTAAAGAGTGGTTCTGGGGGAACGTTCAGACCAATGAGCGTGCATTTTTAAAGAGTATGTAGGTAAAGAATATTTTTCAAGGCTAAGCGTGAATTTTTAAAGAAATTATCAGGTCATTGAGGGCACATTTTTAAAGAGTAGCTCTTGGGGAAATTTCAGACAATGAGCATACATTTTTAAAGAGTAGTTTTCGGGGAACGTTCATACCATTAAGCGTAGATTTGCAAAGAATATTTTTCAATAAATTATATTCATATGGGACTGTATTTTGTATTTATTTATTTTTCGAGTAACTGTCAGAGCTTTAAGTGTGAATTGTTAAAGAGGTAATACAGAATCTGAGACCCTTTTTGAAACAAGTGACCAATCGCCTTGCAAAAATTGTTCCGAAAGTTCGAGGATCGCTTGTATAACATCCTTAAAATACATAATGATGAATAAACCAGTAAGGAAAGTAGTAAAGTCGGACGGGCCGACTATATGATACCCTTCACCACTATGGGTATATTTAACAGATGAATCCTAACAGACGTCGCATTTTTGAAGGACTACTAACATGAAAATGGATCCATACACATGCCATTCTGCAACCTATACTATATTATTCATTTGGTCAGATATAGAGTTGCTTCTTACAATAGGACAAAATTATGTAAATCAATTTAAAGCAAGTATCAATCCGGGTGACCGATTAGATAAACATGGGTAGTTTGGTGCTCTATATCGAAATCTACCGATTTCATAGGAACTTGTCACAGGTTAAGTTATACTAATTTCAGAATGTTTTGTGCATATCGAACACATTTTGAGTTATTCGTGCATCATGTACTTAAAATAGGGAGAAAATATATATAGTAGCTCTATTTAAATCTGAAACGATTTTAAAACTTTCCACGAGCAAGATTTTGTGTCAATCGGCTTAACTTTGGGACTTTGGTGCAACATTTAGTTAAAATCGGACGAAACTATATGGGAACTATATCTAAATCTGGACCGATTTTCAGAAAACTTAACACACATCATTCTGGACCTAATTCAGTAAACTTTACCATATTTCGTGCAAATTTAAAGAAGAAGACTTTTGTACACCATTTACATTAAATCGGTCGAAAATATATATGGGATCTATATCTAAATCTGTACCGATTTTCAGGAAACTTAACAAACGTCATTCACGACCTAATTGATTACACTATACCAAACTTCGTGCAAATCGAAAGGTATATAGGGACTCTGGTACACCATTTACATTAAATATTACGAAAATATATATATGGGAGCTATATCTTAATCTGGACCGATTTTCACGAAAATATATATGGGATCTAGACCGATTCACAGGAAACTTTGCACACAGCATTCTAGACCTAATTCATTACGCTATGCCAATTTCGTGCAAATTGAAAGATATATAGGGACTTTGGTACACCATTTACATATAATCGGACGGAAATGTATATGGGAGCTATATCTAAATCTGGACAAATTTTCACGAAATTTAACACACATCATTCTAGACCTAATTCATTACGCTACGCCTAATATCGTGAAAATCTTAGGAGATATTAGGACTTTTGTTCACCATTCACATTAAATCGGACGAAAATATATATGGGAGCTATATCTAAATCTGGAGCGATTCTCACGAAACTTAACACACATCATTCTAGACCTAATTCATTACGCTATGCCTAATTTCGTGGAAATCGTAGGATATATAGTGAATTTTGTGCACCATTCACATTAAATCGGACGAAAATATATATGGGTGCTATATCTAAGTTTGAACCGATTTTTCCCAATTTCAATCGGGTTTGCCCTTGGGCCAAATAAGTGACCTATGCCAAATTTCATCCAATTCGGATCATAAATGCGAACTGTACTTTGTTTACAATTTAACATAGACAGACGGGCGGACATGCCTAAATCGATTCTATGCATATTCTTAAAAGGAACCATGTGTCTAACTCGTTTCCTTTTGCCTGTTACAAACATATGACCAAAGACATAATACCCTGTACCACAGTGTGGTGAAGGGGTAACCCCTTTACCTTCCGAAATTTGTTTTAATTTAAAATAATAATTTAACTGACAACAGGTTTGTGTACGTCAATTCAATTGACGTATGTAAATCTTTGGAATATATAAGTAAATAAATTGTAACTTTATCAATATTACAAAGTATAATTTTGGTCATAATTTTGTTAGGGTTCTAAATGATACACAACATGTACAGTCTATTTAAAATACTAAATAATAATAATAATTAAATCGCATTTCCTATCTTACCTTATTACGGAAGCGTTGCAATGCTGTTAGCATCGACATCAATAGCATTTTGCCAACCAAGACGCTGGTCCATACCAGAAAACAACAAAAGACACGATTTTCAAGGTTTAACAGAGAGAATCCACCAGTCGGCGATTTGTTGTTGGGCATTGATGATGAGTCCATATTAAATTCTAAAACAAAAACAAATAAATAAATAAAACTTGTTTAATTTTAATGATGGGTTATAAAAATGCAACGTAATACAGTCGAGTACGGTTATAACGAACTCGTAGGGACCAAGTAAATTAGTTCGTTATATCCAAGGTAAGGCAAAATTAGAATGTTCAAATAAATAATATTTGGTGTAGAACGTATGCATTATATGACATTTGATCGGGTTATGATAATTTTTTTGTAAATAATATAGAAATTCTGGACTTGTATTTCATCAAAAACCTTTGGAGTATTGATATGTATTATTGTTGTTATTATTTGCTTTTTATTGAATCCTTTATATATACTATATATATTTTTGCCCCATAGAAATGAGAATATTTGAAGTTATGCTTAAGATCTTTGAAAAAAAAAAAACTATTCACAATGGGAGACGGATGTCTTGAAAATAGCATTCCAAAGTCTTAAGTTTTTATAGATTGTAGAACGAAACGTTTTTTTTTTGTAATTTCCTTGCAGGTTTTTTCTTTGTTAAAAAAATACCAAACACAGATATCTTTATTTTTGTTTATTTCAAAACAAATGTTCGGATCACTTCATTTCACAACAATGACGATGCACACAACTAACAACAACAATTATTAGCGCGGTATTTATTGAAACTACTTCATTTTCATATATTTTTCTTAGACAAAATAATGATGCATATTAATATTGATCTTGATTTTTTCAAATGTCAATGGTGTTTAGTGTAATTATTTTTTTAACGCTATACTTAATTGTAGCTTTTTTATTGAATATTGAACTATTAACAATTTAATATTAACCCTGCTCGTATGTGTTATTGTACAACTTACATTGATTAGAATGTATCAATTGAATACAAATTATTTTCCGATTTGATGTTACTTTGACAACGTTTAGAACTCGAATGTAAGATTTTTAGATAACTTTTATGGCTTTGAGCTCTATGTGAAAATTAAAGCTTTATCAACAAAAATCTCATACAATTTTATTTTCTGCATCGCTTTATGTTAGCAAACGTATGTATTGAGTTAGCTGAGACCAAAGGCAAAAGAGACAAAATAAATGCGTTTTCAAAAATGAAAAAATCGCATACAATTTTATTTTCTGCATCGCAAAGTGTTTGTTAATGTATTGCAGTAGGTGAGACCGGTTTGACTAAATTCGGAGAAGGATAGTGTTGGCCAATAGATGCTACTATGGTCTAAGTAAGCAGTTTGGAAACAAGGCCACCTCACGCCAGACCAAACTCACACTTAAGAAGACGTTGATACTACCCGTGCTGTTGTATGGATCTGAAGCATGGGTAATTGCGCAATCAGATGAGGCAGCTCTTGGTGTGTTTGAGAAAAAAATTCTCCGTAAGATCTACGGGTCGAACTGCGTCGAATGAAGCACGAACTTTACAATCTACCGGGACTATTTTTATTTTTCAAAATTCATATACAGTATAAATTCGATAATCCAGACCTCGCTAATCCGGATTATTCGGTAATCCGAACTGTATTTCACAACCCATTGCGTATCTTAAAATCCAGATTGATTAACTCTATTTGGCTCAAAAATCCGAATTATTTTTTATTAAAACCTTTGCAAATTTTAATGAAAATGGTACCTATTATGTTCAAAGTTCATATTTTTGCAATGAATAATATTATTATTTTAATAATAAATTAATATACATTAATTAATTAAATTAATATAAATTTAAAACATTAAAAAAAACTTGATAGTCCAGAAATCTCGATAATCCTGATTGGGGTCTGCAATCAATTATACGGATTACCGAGTTTTTTATAAATCGGATGATCAAGACCATAATATACGATGTTTTCCAACTGAGTTGGGACGTTTTAAAGAATGTTTCATTAAAAAAGCTTTTCAGTACGTATTAAATCAATATAGTTAGTTATAACATTCAAATTAACCATTTTTCCAAATTTTAACGACTTGTCATTTTTGATAAAAATAATTAAAATAAAAATTTGATTTTAAAATTTCAATCAGGTCTTTCAATAGATGACGCCATTAACATGTCATTGCCGGTGTTGCCAACTGTATCATTGTACTATAATAAAGTACTTGTGTATAGTTGAGCATACTTTTAGGCGCAAATAAAACAATATACGTACTTAAATAACTTCAATCATTTATGTTTTATTAATATAATGTAATGTTATTTTTTACAATTTATAACCAATTTTATTACAAATATTATCTTAAATATATGAATATATAAATAAGTATAGAAAAAATAGCTGAAAGAAAACTTATATTTTTTGCAAATTAAAAATTTGAGTTTATTTGAGTTTATTTTATGACTTACCGTATAGCTTTTGTGATTTCCAAATGATGTTCCATGCTTTTTTAAATACTATAAAAGAAAATATGATACTAAAAACCATTAGTTACATTAGAACATTTTACCGGGTTAACCTACTTTATGAGGATTTATTTGACATATATTGAAAGGAATTGACAATAGAAACCCACTGGGTTAACGAAATCTGGTTCAATGTAAACGTACTATTATATTCAGTTAAAAGTATTTTAAATAAGTCAAAGGCAAGTTCTTTTGTAAATATTTGAATTCAACGTTAACCATGTATTTACTTAGTCTTTTTAATTAATAATTTTTTTTAATTATCCCGTGGGCCCCAAATGGGTGAAATTAGAAATGGAGGTTATGAAGAAAATTAAATTGTTATTCACTTTTAACTCATTTAATGACACATCCTGTCAACTAAGTTTGGTCGTCTTCCAACTGTTTCTGCATTACTGAAGGATGAAATGATAAAATATTTACATGAAATGAAGTATTACACCATTCCATTAATTTAATTAAATAAATTTTGAAATAAATCCTCATAAGATTACTGAAATTTCACGTAATGGTGTAAAGGTTTATTTAAAATATCACGGACAATTGATCATAAAATTGTTCAAATTTTGTAAATAATTATTTATAAGCTAGACTTAATGTAATTTACAAATATAAAATTAGCGTTTTTCAATCAATATTAGTAAGTCACTGCCTAAAAGATAAATGGTAAGTAGATATTGGATATAAGCACATCTCATATAAGAAAAAATCGCATATGAGAAAGATTATAAAAAACACCGAGCCTTTTTAAATTTCATCAGTATAAATATTACTTCATATAAGAAAAACACTGATATAAGAAATATTTGTCAAACACCAAAGCTGACAAAGGTATTTGAAAACGTTTCATATAAGAAAATATGAACAATTATTGGCCAATTTATTAACATTAAAAATGAAAGAAAACAAAGAAAAATAAAAAACTTAAAAAGAATATTACTAGGTTGGGGAAAAATAAATCCATTATTTTTATATGAACTATAGGATTTTATTTAATATGCTTCAGAATGTCCGATTTGGGCCCAAAATACACCGATTTGTTGGCAATTTTAAGGTAACTTCTCAATGCCTCTCTCATAGAAGTCCTGCTCTCTATTTGCAAAAATCTCTAAAAGTAAGTACGCTTATAAGAAACAACTTTCTTATATCCGATTGTTCAAATTTTGTAAATAATTATTTATAAGCTAGACTTAATGTAATTTACAAATATAAAATTAGCGTTTTTCAATCAATATTAGTAAGTCACTGCCTAAAAGATAAATGGTAAGTAGATATTGGATATAAGCACATCTCATATAAGAAAAAATCGCATATGAGAAAGATTATAAAAAACACCGAGCCTTTTTACATTTCATCAGTATAAATATTACTTCATATAAGAAAAACGCGAATAAGAAAAACACTGATATAAGAAATATTTGTCAAACACCAAAGCTGACAAAGGTATTTGAAAACGTTTCATATAAGAAAATATGAACAAACTTAAAAAGAATATTACTAGGTTGGGGAAAAATAAATCCATTATTTTTATATGAACTATAGGATTTTATTTAATATGCTTCAGAATTTCCGATTTGGGCCCAAAATACACCGATTTGTTGACAATTTTAAGGTAACTTCTCAATGCCTCTCTCATAGAAGTCCTGCTCTCTATTTGCAAAAATCTCTAATAGTAAGTACGCTTATAAGAAACAACTTTCTTATATCCGATAATTCTATATAAAAAACGCATATAAGAAAGAAATCTCCGGCATTTTTGAGTTTCTTATATCCGATATCTACTGAATAATATTAAATAAACCATTATGTAAACTGTATTTTAATTTTGTCCTTCCGTTCTCAACACCTCAACATATTTATCTAAAAAATTTGATCAGAATAAACTATGCTGTTTTTTCATGTCCGCCTGTATATCCGTTGACATCACGATAATACATTGCTATTACATTGCACATACATTGCTACTAAATTTAGAATGTTTGATGATAACTTAGGGAAATATTTTGTTTTTTTTTATTTTATTCAAAAACAAAGTTTTTATTTTCGTTTTATTAAAAAAAAAATATTTAACAACTACTTTTCTGTTTAAAAAATATATTGCTTTTTAAAAACTTTTACAGACTTTAAAGGGAGACTTTTGTTTTATTATTAATTGTACTAAAACAATATATAACTAATATTTTTACAAAATATACAATTGTACAAACTTAACACTAATACATGCATATTCGAATATTATATTTAACAAAAACGATGTACGTATGTATAACAATTTATGTTAATATAACAGATTAAAAACTAAAAACAATTAGAAAAAATAAAGAAAACACAAAAAAAGTGTATAAAATTAAAAATAATAAGATGAGAAAGAACGAGAGAGTAAATAAATTACAAATGAAATAAATGTTTATAAGAAAACAACAAAGGAGATAACTATGACAAAAGGCGTATATTACAAAAATAGGATGTATTTTGAAATATACATATAAAGAGAGGGATTGAGAGTATACAAAATTGGGGGATTTTGTGTATTTGCTTCACTAATTCGCTCTTAAGTAAGTACACATCACAGTCAGGAAAATGACTGATGAATAAATATCAGCATTCCTTATTTTTTTAGCTTATTTTCTTTTTTCATTCCAATGAATTTTATTTCATATCTTCACTGTGATCGTAGGCCTCATTTGTAACACCATTGCTTTCCTGATCATGATGGTGATTATTGTCCATATTGTTGCTTTCGCCATTTGTCATTTTTGTTTTCGTTGTTGGTGCGGCGGGTAATTGTGGCATCTGTTCATTATTGGCTTTAATGGATTTATCACCAACTTCGGGATCTCCTTCTTCGGTGTGTTTTACATACTGATAACGCATTGCCAATAGCATAAAGATGAACATATCGATGATCATGAGACCGGCAAAGAGAGCAAATTCAGCAGCCTAAGAAAAAATGAAATAGAATGCAATGAAAAATTATTTTTTTGATCTGAACTGGTATAAATGTGACACATATTTGTCTTCTGAGTACAGAAGGACCTCACCAGGTCCTTTGCAGAGTGAGGGCGATGTTTATGAATTTTTGAGAGAGAAGACCACACAGGGTCTATTTTAAAGACCAATTTGTTAAGAATATATTTAGGGACCATATTTTTAAAGGGCTTTCCAACTATACAAGTGCGTGTTTTTTTAGGAATAGTTTTTAAAGAATATTTTTAAGTAATATACCATATATAATCGCGTGGTTTTTAAGCAAATATTCAAGGATCATTAGAACTATAAGCATCGATTTTTTAAAGATTATTTTTCAAGGACCATTAGTACTATATTTGTGGATTTTTTTAAGAACATTTTTCACAGGACCATATTTTTAAAGGGCTTTCCAACTATACAAGTGCGGGTTTTTAAAGAATAGTTTTTAAAGAATATTTTTAAGGAATATACCATATATAATCGCGAGGTTTTAAAGCACATCTTCAAGGATCGTTAGAACTATAAGCATCGATTTTTTAAAGATTATTTTTCAAGGACCATTTTTCACAGACTATCCGAGGCGTAAATTTGTTAAAGAATATTTTTTCCAGACCATCAGAGGCTTAGATTTTATAGAGAATATTTTTTCCAGGCCATCCGAGGCGTAGATTTTTTAAAGAATATTTTTTTCTCACACCATCCGCGGCGTAGATTTTTTAAAGAATATTTTTTTCTCACGCCATCCGAGGCGTAGATTTTTTAAAGAATATTTTTCTCACACCATTCGAGGCGTGGAGTTTTTAAAGAATTTTTTTTTCGCCCTATCCGAGGCGTAGGTTTGTTAAAGAATATTTTTCTCCAGAACATGGTGGTTTTTTGGGTTTTTCAAAAATATATGTCAAGGACAATTCAGCCAATATGGATCTACAAGCGTCTATAGCTTTTGAACTTTATTCAGATCTTTCAAATGTATACTATTTTTGCAGGCCTACGAAGGAGAGAAATTGTTCTCCATATCTACTATTACATAGAGTTCTGGAAGCTGAGAAAGCAGATCTTTTAAGGACGGAAGACCTTCTTCAGGTCTTTCATGATCAAACAAATATTCTATTGACCGAATACCCTCTTCAGAACGTCCATAGAAGATACCAAATTTTGCTTTGTTGAAAATACCCTTCTTAAGTCTTAAATAAAATGATGTCAGTCTTCATGTCTCTACAGATTTACTAAGAAGTGAAGCTTTTCCAGATATTTTTTAGACATGTGAGCTTCAAAAGTTTTTCTATGGACAGGACTTATACCTCCTCTTTATGTCATCAATAGACCAAAGTCCTCTTCTTAACCTAAACAGACTTTCTAAGAGGACAGAAGACCTCCAACAGGAATTTTACTTTTATTGTTCGAATAGATAATCTATTCCAACAATAGACCCTCTTCAGAACATCCATAGATGGAGAACCTACATATTCTATTGAGAGAACACCCTTTTTGAGTCTTTAATAGACCAAACATCTTCTTCAGATATTTTAATGGAAAGTATTTTATGAACCGAACAATTAAATTGTTTAAGTCGTCAATATACTGTAGTCATAGCCTTTACATACTTCTTAAGGAGGAAGACTTGATGTACTTTCTAAAAAAGTTAATTTTCCCTTGATATTTTAAAGGCAGGTGATCTTCATCAGGTCTTCTATAGACAGAATACGATTTTCAAATAATCTATGGAGTGGAAACCTACTGCAGTGTCCTTCTTCATTTCATCTATGGGCTGAATATACAGAGAACCCCACTTTATCATTTCAATATACCGAAGCCCCTCTTCATTCCCACGACGGAAGACTAGACTTGGTCTTTCAATTGAAGTGAATCTTCTCCAAAAGAATTTCATTAGATGTTATGGACACAAAAATTTCTATAGATATTGTATGTATAGAAAACCTTCGTCAGGTCAAAAGACAGAAGATCTTTTATTAATAATTTGCCTTCAAGGTATTTTTAGGGTTGCTATAGATAGTATCCCAGCTTTTCTACAGCTACAGTTATTCTAAAGACAGGTCGTATAAAGGTATTCTATGTATCTCTAGATATTCTGTGCACAAAAACCCAACTTCAGCTGAAATTTTTGGAAGTCTTAGAGGAGAAGAACCTTTTCAGGTCCCTATAGGCAGTATAACCTCATCCTTAGAACGGAGGACTTCTTAACTTATAGACAGGTGTCTTTTTTGGTGTTGGACACAGAAGGTCATATCATAGACTTCTGTAGACAAAATAACATCCTCTATAAATATAACACCTTCTTTAGGCCTTTAAAAACTGTCTTCTACTGGTATTTTATAGATAACGCCTTTTACAATTTTTCTGCTAACAGAAGGCCTTCTAAATGTCTTCTATAGACAAAGGAATCTCCCAACATCATCTACAAGAGAAGCTTACCAAACAAAGGTCTTCTAAAAGCTAAATTTAAATTTCTGAGCTTCTATAGGTAGAGAACCAACTTCTGTCAAAACTTCTAAACAAATATTTATACATACCTGAGATTCAAAGAATTTAAGTTCCGCTATGACAACGACCAACATATTACCAATGGCCACAGATAAAAGCCAGCAGGCCTGCAATACAGATTTCATGCTCTGAGGGGCTTGCGTAAATGAGAATTCCAGCCCAGTAATGGAGAACATAATTTCAGCAGCCGTAATGACAATGATTTGAGGCAACTGCCACATCATGTGGACGGAATTGGGTTCAGTTACCACATGTTGTTGATAATTCTACAAAACAAAGAAATTATTTAAAAATCTTTCTCAAATACTGAAAAATTCCAAATCTACTTACAAATCCTTCCTTGAAATTGCCATTAGCCATGATGACATAAACACCGCCAGCCCTTGCGGTCAAATTCATAACCACTTGATCGTTTAAGGTCAAAACCGCCTTGCCTCTTGCCACAGTTATTAATTGCGAGGTGTTGTAGGAAGCTAATGCTGTTGCAGTATGGGCAGCATCAATAAGTGTAAAATTACCCTGACCAGCAGGAATATTTAACATTACCCGAACCAAGGGGTTACCCAATTTCGGTTGTTCCGGACTATCCATAAATTCATGCATTCGATCATTGGCAATGAAATAGCTCACGGCCTTTCCTGGCATAACTTTCAACATATCTGATATACCAGGACATGCTGGATCCGAGGAGGAGGCATCAAAACGATATGAGGTAAGCATTGCGGTTTGGACCTCTTTTTCCATCCACAAACCCAAGGCGGGGACATGACTTTCATTGCTCATATCACTGACGGGGAATTCGGTTAAGAATTTATAATCACATGGCATGCCATTGTAAATTCTCAGCTGCGATGTTGTTGGGCCAGGCACCACGGGTGCAACGGCTTCCAATTTCAGTTCCACAAAGGCGGACAGTAAAAATGCTCCAGCAGCCAATAATCCACCCAATGTTAACTTTTGCAAGGGTCTGCGAATACCGACCATTGACAGCAATGGATAAACGACATAATCGAACAATGGAATAAAGGCCAAAATCAGCAAAGGATTGATGACTTGCATTTGATCGGGCTTAATAAAGAAACCAAAAATTTCACCATCCATACGTGTGGCTTGGAATGTCCAACGGGAACCTTGTTGATCGAACAGAGCCCAGAAAACAGGGAAAGGCAAGAATAACACCAAAATCTTCAGCAATGTTTTTACATCGGAAACCATTTTCGAGCCCACCGCTGGTTCAGCATAATCCAACCAATGATTTCTTGGTTTTGTTTTGCGTTCTCTTCTCCAGCCACCGATGGCTTGGCTAATGCAACGTGAAACTCCCAAAATCATATTACCTGCAGGAGGTTTCATGATGTACAATTTCTTGCCCGCGACAAAAATTACAACGGACAATAACATAAGAACGGCAGGAACACCAAAGGCCAAGGAGAAACAATCGTTATCACCAAAACAATGGACATCTTCACGTAGAATTGGTGTCACCGAGGTGGAGATCATCGACCCGGCATTAATGGCAAAATAGAAGAGGGAGAAAAATGTGGCCAATTGTTTTTCTTGTTCGGGTAAACGAAATTGGTCACCACCAAATGCCGATACACAAGGTTTTATGCCACCTGTGCCAATGGCTATGAGGACCAGACCCAATATTGTTACAGCTCTGAAAGAATAATATGAAATAATTTAGAAAACACAATTGAATGAAATTTTGGTTTACTTACTGTACTGGTAGCTGTAACACTGGTACGGCACCCAAGGCCATTATAACACCACCAATGGCATAAACAATGGACAAATTCAGAATTGTCTTAAATTTGCCCAGCCAACTGTCAGCAACTATGGCGCCCACCAGGGGACACAAATACACCAACATTGTAAATACATGAAACAGAACTGTCGACGTGTCATCATCGTATTGCAGTTTACTGGTCAGATATAGAACCAAGATGGCTGTAAAGAAAGACAGATTGGAAAATTTATCAGTAAATTATTTAATTTTTATTTCATTATTTTTTGAGGTATATTATAATTAATAACCTATCATCTCACATGTAGGTATGATTTTACTTTCATTGAAATTCCTCTTTTAATGAAAAATTTCCTCAAAGATGAACAACATTTTTAACTCTCAATATGGAGAATTGTTCTGATATAAAAAAATAAGAAATATTAACAGCCTGTTTTTGTAAAATTCCCATGGTACAATTATAAAAGGTAACAGCAAATCCCAGCTGATTTGATTCCAACGTTATACTAGTGTCAATATGAATTTGACAAATTATGTTTTTAAAAATCACCCAACAGGAAAATTGGGAACGCATACAATTTAAAATTGTTCTTTATTAAATGTGCTCCTGTATTCAATTTACTCAATCTGCCTGCTGGGAAAGTTTGAGGAAGCAAATCTTTCTTCAAGGAATAACTCGCTATTCCCAGCATTTTCATATGTGTTACACATATATATGGCAATGGCTCAATTATAGGAAAGATGTGGAATAGATAGAAATATAAATTTTATAGATTTTCATTCATGTTTTTCAATTTTTATTTTGAGGATTCGAAAATATTTCCTTTTCAAAATAAAAATAATTTGATGATAATTTGTTTGTTTATTTACATTTTTCTGTCAAATGAGTTGACACTAGTAGAACTTACAAAAACAAATTTCCATGTGGTTGTTGTATCGTTTTTTGTACAACAACACTTGCTGTTACCTTCTATTATTATACCATGTAAAATTCCAAACCAAGGTGTATTTAATAAGGTGTAAGTGACAATCATATGGTTTTCAACTTTTTTCTTTATTGTTTGTAAAGTAAATTGTCAAAAATATTTGTCAACGTTTCATTTCGATTTAAAATGTTGTCTTTTGTTTTCGATTACTATTTTTTATTAATAAAAGAGCGATAATAATGAATTTATAGGGACGGAATATTTGTTAATGCCCCAAGTGACGACAAGGAAGCGTGAGCTTAAATCAGTTCTAAATCCGGCCGCTGATTTGTTCCACATATTTGCCGCAAGTACAACGTGGGTTCCAGATTGCAAATATACATATGTATATGTGTGTTCTTATGATCGATTTAATACCAAAAGGAGATTGTTAAAGAAAAAGAAATCAGCCCCTAAATCCCCTGTTTCCCTCAAAATCAAGGAAATGGTGTTATATAGTTTGTATTAGAATTTGTCCATTAGTTTTCAACAAACGCCTGGCTAAATACATTTTTTTTACAATTTAAAATGAGATTCTGTTGCGTAGTATATTGATAGATTGCATACGGGTTTGTGGTGTTTGACCGAGGATTTATGTCCTACCAAGAAGCCACTTCTTCGAAAATTATATTTTAATTTAAAATATAAGCAAAATCCCCAAGGAACCAAGGCTTACATGTGGGACACTTTTCAAAATTATTCGACCTGAAGAAATGTATAATTGTTTTTATTTACTTTTGTCAAAACCTATTTGTCAGCATGACAATTTAATTTCTATAACAACAATGTTGTTTTTGTAAAATGTTTGTTGTTGTATCTGATGTATACACCTTATTAAATACACCTTGTTCCAAACGAACGAATTAGAGTGACTTACGACCAAACTCATTGGTTTTGAAAAATATGTCATTTATTTTTGTTTTGAATCAGAAAACCTTTATAAACATAAATAAAGGTTTGGTCGTATGTCACTCGAATTCGATCGTTTGGAATTTTACTAAAACAGGCTGTAAAACCAGTGAGCGGAGCAGTATAGTCAGACAGGGCCGACCATAACTTTTTGTAGTTTATTATTCTGAGCATGGACAATATTTCGCGATATTTGCATCCTCTTGACCGAATAGAGGTCAACAAATATTACTAATATGTTCGGCTTTCAATTGTGGCCTATAGATCGACTAGGAAAAACAAAAGAAAATAATATATAATAATATCATCACCGAAAATGATATGCGTTGTCCTTGACTATAGTTGGATCCTCATGAAAAATTTCAAAGCGATCAGCGCTTTATTTCCGCCCTGTGTGGTAATGGGTTACAAAATAATACATGAATACCTGTAAATATTTAAGTGCAACTCCCACATTCGTGTATATATGACAATATAATTGGTATCAATTTAAAGGTCAACCACTCTTCGTGGATATACTATCAACTTCTCGGGCCTATATCATTCAGGAGCAAATATATAATCCCAGAATAAAAATGTTGTAATTTTTTTCGGATTTTCTGAAAACAGACGGCCTTATACAGTCCTTCTTTAGGCAGCTGCACCTATCACCCAGAACACCTTATACAGAAAAACATTCTTATTTTGATTTTCTAATGACTAAATTTTAATTTTCTGGACATCAACAGGCAGAAGTACAACATGGGTCTTCAATAGACCCATGATCTAGCAAACAGAGGACTTTCTTCGTGGACAAGAGTCCATTTTGGATATTCTGCAAAGAGAAGACGCTATACAGATATTCTATAGACGGACGAGATCTTACATACATGGGATTCTAAGAATTTAAGTTCCTCTCTACATTCGGTATGGACACAATAACTTTTATATGTCATATGTACAGAAGAAGATCTTTATGGCATTTTTTTGACGGGGGACCTTGGTTGTAGACAAGCATCCTTTTTCGGAATTCTGCTAACCTAAGGCTCTATACAAGTATTAAATAGACGGTAAACCCCTAAAACTATGTCTTGATTTAGATTAGGCGAGTATACTTGCGGCAAGTCTTTGTTTGTAGGAGAGAGGGGCAAGGGGAATAGAAATGAAAAAAAATTGCTCGTACCGACAATTTTCTGGCAATTCGTTTTGTGTATTTCGTATTTGTTGACATTTTATATAGATTTAAATGTGAAAAAACAACAAATAGAAAAATATTTTGGAAACCGAATTGCCTTGTATAAACGCATGAAGCAAGTTCAAAAGAGAACGACAAGAATTGCCGCAAGTAAACTCGTCTAATCTAAATCAAGACTATGTAGGCCTTTTATAAACGAACATTATTTTACTTCTAACAGCCCTACCTAAAATTCAACTAGCTCGTTCGACGTTTTTCACCACAAAAGTAGAACACATGTATTTATATGAATGTTAACGAAATACGTCGAGCGTACAAAATTTAAAGTTGACAAATTTCAACTTTGACAGAACGTATTCTTTGTTTTTTTCTTTTATTGAAAATAAAAACAAAACATTCAGAAAATATGAAATTTCGAATGTGAACATAAAATATTTGGATTACTTTAATAAATTTTCGATTTTGTTTTGCGGTTTCTATTATTCGCTTGAAGATATGGTTTCGACGTATTTGGGTAATACGGCCGTACAAAACATTTTGCAAAAGTGGGGAAGTTGAATTTTTCTGTACGCTCCGTTGAATTTTAGGTAACGTTGTAAAGAGTAAATTCTAATTTATGGGCTTCACCACATAAAAAATCAACTGCCGATTCCTCTGTGGATTTTCTATAGACAGAATATCTTCTTTTTTATGCCTTCTTAAGATGTTTTGTTCTTTTGACTATGCGTGCCCTTATTTAGGTCTCTTATAGAAGGAAGATAGGATATCATCTACGAGACAGATGATTTTCAACGGCTTTTCTATAAAAAGGAGATCTTCTTTCTGGACAGGGATCCCTTTGTGGGCATCAGAGGATTCATCTCTTTGTACAAACCCACCTTTATTATGGCACCAATTTTATTACAACACCACCAGTAGTTCGAAAGTTAAGCCACAAAACCCAGAACATTCTTTTTTACTTTCGACATTTCAATCTATTGCTTCAATAGATGACGCTTTGTTATGAAATAGCTCTGCTAAAATGTAGTTCAAAACTTATGCAAAAAGAACCAGAACTTTACATTATTTATTTTCGTCATTCGGTCGCCAAATTGTAAGGTCTTTAGGGAGAAATCAAGGTATGGTAAAATTGAAATGTCATACCTCCCCTTAACTAAATAGAAAAGCCTCAGATCCTCTGAACACAGAAAATTTTATCGTTTTGTGGAGGAAATACATCCCTTAGTTATTCGGAAAACACGATATTCTATAGACATGATATTCTGGCCATAAAATGATCCGAAATCGAATCTGACCCCTATAACATCGACATTGGCGTCTAGGATTAATAAAATATTGAAACAGGGAGACTATTTGAAACAAAAGACCTTTCTGTAAGAGATTGAAATAACTAACTACACATCGGACGGATTATGCGGAAAACATACGAATATTGACGTCTTGTCTTTAAATATCCTATGTAATATCATTTCTTTATGAACATTAAATTTACCAGCAATATATATATATATACATATATACTCCTAGGATGTTCAGTACTTAAAATCGGATGTATAGGTCATGTTTTGACATAGCTCACCCATATGTATATACCTGTTGGTAATATATTTACTTTAATATTCATTGTAAGTCCATGTTTTGACACAACCCCACATAAGGTATTCCAAAAGCAATTTAATATTCTAACAGCATTTTAAAGTTACATTATGCAGACAAACAACACGGAAATGAATAACAAAAAATATGTTTTAAATACTTACTTCGCATGCCATAATAATTGAAACGTTCACAGAACTCATTGCTGATAATAAAACCCACCGACTTGGGATATTTTACCGGCTGCAAATAAAGAAAGACAAAAAGAAGAAAAAAAAACACAATTAATGATTAATATTATTTGGCATTCCATCACGTTCCATTAAAGTAAAATGCTACAACAAACTTGAGTTTATAAACTAAAGAAACGAGAAATGTCATTCCGACGACAATGCAATGCAATTGATGAAGCGAGTTGGGAAAATAAGAAAAAAATGTATTTTCTTCAAAACAATGTAAGAAATTTCATTACAAGTGATTTGAGTCGATTTGTTGTGGCAATCTGTCAGATTGAATAGCTGTTTCTTCGTTTTTTTTATCTCTCAGCATATGGCTCTTAATTGAATACTCAGATAATTATTCTCATGTTGTTGTCATTTTCTGTGTATGTCTGTTTGTGCGGTAAACAAAAAGCAACAGACAAACATAACTTGGTAGCATAACTCCCAAGCAGCAACAACAACGGCAACAATAGCCAAACAAGTATCAATCAAATCTTATGTGACACACAAAAATACAACAAGTGAGAGTTTGTCGCAAAAAATAATACTCGAGACTGAATAGAACAGGTTTTCAAATAAGACACATTTTCAGTATACACTTTTGTTTAATAAAATATTAGTTTATGATGTCGACGACGATAGCCGACGATAATGAGTTTTTCAATGGATTTTTTTTTATTGTTTAAAATCTTTTTTCAGTTTTTAACAAACAATTTGCAAATATTTAATAACTACACTCAAAAAATTGTGAAAGAATGGAAGATCCATGAAAAATTTTGATCGCTTGTCGATTTATGTAGGACTTCACGCCTATGGCTCAGTACTATTCATTAAAAATTTAGATCTGTAGTTCGGATAGTTCTTGAGAGGGGTAGACTTTATGATACCCTGCATAACTTTGGGTATAAACAATATATGATCCTTAGATTTTTATTGTAGCCTACATTATAAGTTTACAATGTACTGCATTTCGCATTTACCCAGTGGTAAAGTAGGTTAACCCGGTAAAAAGTTCTTATGTAAATGCGGTTTTAATATAGAGTATTCCGATTTAAGCCAAGCTTCAACAATGTTCCTCTGTCGATTCGACAGGCGTATCATCTTTTATAGAACCATTCACATGATTTCATCAAAATATGAAACCGGACCAAATACTCCACTATTTACATCAAATTGGTAAAAGATATATTTGGGAGCTGTATCAAATATGGACCAATTTGCACAGTACTTAATACACGTCATTATTTTTTAGATTAATTTGCAAAATTTGTTGGTAATTGGACAAACTCTGAGTAGTTAATGCACCATTTAGATGAATTTGGCCAAAAATATATTAGTTTGGGGAAAAAGAAATCCATTAGGCCGGTCGTTGAAAATGCCGATAAAATCGGAGAATTTATCAAACATCGCCCTGGCGTTAAAACCGGCCATTAAACTGTTTTAAACCATTTACACAAAGCAGGATTTAAAATGAAGCTCGATGTTTGGGTGCCACACCAATTAACAGAAAAAATAGGATGAATCGAATTTTCATATGCGAAGCATTGGTCAAACGGAACGGAAGATTGAGCCATTTCTTAAAGGGATGGTGATTGGAGATGAGAAATGGATCATATACGATAACCCTAAGCGGAAACAATCGTGGTCAAAGAGCGGTGAAGCACCTCAAACGGCGTCCAAACCAGGACTAATGGCCGGAAGGTTCTGCTATGCGTTTGTGTGGGACTGGAAGGGAATTATTTTTTATGAGTTGCTTCCATATGTCCAAACGCTAAATTCTGATCTCTACTGTCAACAACTGGACCGTTTGAAGAATAATTGACCAGAAACGGCCAGAATTGGCCAATAGGACAGGTGTCGTGTTACATCAGGACAACGCTAGGCCACACACATCTACAGTGACTAGCCGGAAACTTCTGGAGCTTGGTTGAGAAGATTTAATGCATCCTCCATACAGTCCGGACTTGGCACAAAGCGATTATAATCATTTTTTACATTGCAAATTTTTTTAATGATAAAAAAATTTGTATCTAACAGCCTGTTTTTGTAAATGTAAAATGTCTATTCGTTCGTCGAAAAAACGAACGATTACTCATTTTGGTTTTCGCAAACAAATTACCGGTTGTAGTGAGTGAGAAATAGGAAAGAGCTTTTGGTATTCGTATTTTTTTGGTTTTTGTTATACAAAACGGTGCGTTATTTACGAACAAAAATGTCAAAAACAAACGAAGAGAAAATACCATTCGTTTAAAAAAAATAATAAAGAAAACTATTTGTTCATTACAATTTGTGTGTTGTTAGTGAAAAGAACGCAACAAATATGGAAAATACTGATGAAATATATAAGAAGAAATGGTTTGTAAAAAATTATATATCCCTATGAAATGTAAAAAATTATATTGAATTGTTTGAACCCCTAGCAACAAAAGGACAACGATTGCCCAATTCCAAAAATTGGTTGATCTCATGGAACTTTACCCACAATTAGCAACTGGCCGTCCTGTTTTCGGATCCAATAAATTTGAAGTGGATAACAAGTGGAATAATGTAGCTGTATCATTAAATGCCATAGGTATTCTCCTTTGGGGAATATTTTGCTTTTCTTTATAATTAAAATTAATTGCAATCGTACCAAACATTTTGAATTTTCTATTTTGACACTTTTTATGTAAAAAAAAAACTGTTTGTAAACAATAAACAGAGTTACCCTCATTTTGCAATAATTCTATTGGAAAATTTGCAACAAGATACCAAAAGAAACACTTTGGCACTAATGGTTAAAAACGAATGAAAAGGCTCAATCGTTTCTAGACGAAAGCTTTTACAATTATTACAAAAACCAAATTTTCGACGTATACGTTTTAATACGAACGATACGTGTGACTGCCGGAACAAATTACAAAAACAGGCTGTAAGAAGGATTGTGAAAATCGACTACTAAAGTTTTTTGCAAATAGAGAGCAGGAGAGAGGCGTTATGAAGTTACATTAAAAATGGCATATTTGGCCCAAATCGGACATTCCGAATCTTGTTAAAAAAGTCATATATTTCATATAAAAATAATGGTTTTGTTTTTCCCCAACCTAATATACAGAAGCTATATCTACTTCTGAACTGATTACAACAAATATTTATATACGTCATTCTAGTACAATTTGGTAGGCTGAGCAAAATTTCGTCTCAACATTTCGTATCAATACAACAAAGGTAGGGTCTATGGTGCATATATAAAGTAAAAGTCATTCTATGTATACTGTAGCCTGTCCCAGGTGATGGTGGCTGCCATCTATCGGTGTCTAGAATTTTATATGGGTTTGGGTCCTTGCTTATTTAGTTTGACCTTAATCTCCTGTCATTTCTGTATTTATCTTATTCTCGTACGTTAATATTGGCCTCTGTTTAGAAATACTTTCCATAAGAAAATATTTTTAAAAATTCCCTTTATGGGTAAAATAGTGGTTTATAAAACCCGCTTTAAAAATTCCCCTTTATTGATGGAATAATGCTGAGAATATATTCCCATAGTCCTTTAGATAATATTATATATATATATATATATATATATTCTTTAAAAAAATCCATGCCTATGCATCTAATATTACTTCATAAAATATTCTTTAAAATATTCTTCAAAAAGTCCACACCTAATTCTCTGATAGTCGTTCATAAAATATTCTATAAAAGTCCACGCCTATGTCTCTAATAGTCCTTCATAAAATATTATTTAAAAAATCCACGCCTATGTCTCTAATAGTCCTTCATAAAATATTTTTAAAAAATCCACGCCTAAGGCTCTGATAGTCTTTCATAAAATTTTCTTAAAAAAAAATTCACGCCAATGACCCTTATATTAAAAAAATTCACGCCTATGGCTCTAATAATCCTTCATAAAATATTCTCTAAAAAACCAACGCCCATTACTCTTATATTAAAAAATCCACTCCTATTAATATATAAAAAATCTACGCCTATGGCTCCAATAGTTCTTCGTAAAATATACTTTAAAAATCCACGACTATAGATCTGATAGACCTTCATAAAATATTCTTTAAAATCTAATCCTATGGCCCTATATTTTGTATGAATTTAAAACATCTCCACCACGTGGTGAGTTATCATAAAATACTAATAGCCGATTTAAAATCGAATACATTTATGTATGTATATTTAAATTATTTGAATTATGGTATTTTTTTTGCATATATGAATATGCGAATGACACAGCAAAAACAGAATAACAAAATGCGAAACTAGTCAAGGTCTTAAACTTTAGTTCGGAGTTAACTGATTTAGAACCAGTAACAGTATATCATTTGTAGAATGTAGAACAAATCCCACGCCACATACTTAGCCAGCATTTTTTATTTATATTCAAGCAGAAAAATATTGACAGAGTTTTTTCTATTAAACACATGTCTATTTTGGGGACGTTTTCAATACAATAGTTCGTTTTATGTTAGGAATTTTATGCGATTTGAATATAAAAACAACTACTGAGGTGACAAAATCCAATATCAAGTGACATTGTGTGTATGTCATGATCATAAACCAACACCGCATAATGGTGGATTGTGACGTTGTATCGCAATTGAATTAATTTTACACGCATTATGGAGTACATACACGTAAATGTCAGCTGATATTGAACTTCAGTTTAATTTTATTTTTGCAAAGCCATTTAGGCATCAAATGGTATTGAACTTCAAAACAAACACATACATACGTTTTTTTGTTCATAAACAAATAAGACACACATTGACTTTTTAATTAGAAAAATAAAACATTTGTTTGACAAATTTAATTTGGGATTTAGGAAGATTTACCTCAATGTCATCGTTAATTGTATTTTTTTTGTGATTAATTAGCCATATTCATGACATAGACAGACACTTGTTGTGGGTGGGTGATTTTTGCTTTAGGCCTTTATTTGGACACAATACATTTTTTTAATTTTAATATTTATACAAAATAGTTAAAAGATAAATTATTATTGGTATTAATACTTTTTTTGCAGTTATCATT